GGTGGGGGATAAGTGGCTATCAGCCCTCTAGTCTAAAGCCTGGTGTGGGCCTAAATTACTTCTTTCTCTCCTCTTTCAAAACATCTGTCCCCCCATCCAGAATATGAACTTTGCTGTCCTTGAAAGAGTGTCCCTTATCCTTCAAATGAAAGTGAACTGCTGAGTTTCCACCTGAGGAGTTGGCCCTTCTGTGTTGTGCCATGTGTTTGTCTAGATTCCCCAATACTGGCCTACAGGTTAGCAAGTTTTTTTTTTACCGTCATCAATAGGCTAATAAAAGACAAGAGCCAGAAGAGAAGAAGTGAGCTCTCTGACAGTTAGGCACACCTGAGGGAGTGCAACAAAGCCACTTGAAAGCATGTCACATAGTCATAGTCAAGTCATTTATACATGTCTATCATGCTTCTGGTCTTTGAACAGAAGGAAGTAGTTAGGCTATACTGCTGGTTGGTGAAAGTTAACTGCTCAAAAAAATAAAGGGAATACTTAAACAACACAATATAACTCCAAGTCAATCAGACTCCTGTGAAATCAAACTGTCTCTGATTGACAATCAATTTCACATGCTGTTGTGCAAATGGAATAGACAACAGGTGGGAATTATAGGCAATTAGCAAGACACCCCCAATAAAGGAGTGGTTCTGCAGGTGGTGACCACAGACCACTTCTCAGTTCCTATGCTTCCTGGCTGATGTTTTGGTCACGTTTGAATGCTGGCGGCGCTTTCACTCTAGTGGTAGCATGAGACGGAGTCTACAACCCACACAAGTGGCTCAGGTAGTGCAGCTCATCCAGGATGGCACATCAATGCGAGCTGTGGCAAGAAGGTTTGCTGTGTCTGTCAGCATAGTGTCCAGAGCACGGAGGCGCTACCAGGAGACAGGCCAGAACATCAGGAGACGTGGAGGAGGCCGTAGGAGGGCAACAACCCAGCAGCAGGACCGCTACCTCCGCCTTTGTGCAAGGAGGAGCAGGAGGAGCACTGCCAGAGCCCTGCAAAATGACCTCCAGCAGGCCACAAATGTGCATGTGTTTGCTCAAACGGTCAGAAACAGACTCCATGAGGGTGGTATGAGGGCCCGACGTCCACAGGTGGGGGTTGTGCTTATAGTCCAACACCGTGCAGGACGTTTGGCATTTGCCAGAGAACACAAAGATTGGCAAATTCGCCACTGGCGCCCTGTGCTCTTCACAGATGAAAGCAGGTTCACACTGAGCACATGTGACAGACGTGACAGAGTCTGGAGACACCGTGGACAACGTTCTGCTGCCTGCAACATCCTCCAGCATGACCGGTTAGGCGGTGGGTCAGTAATGGTGTGGGGTGGCATTTCTTTGGGGGGCCGCACAGCCCTCCATGTGCTCGCCAGAGGTAGCCTGACTGCCATTAGGTACCGAGATGAGATCCTCAGACCCCTTGTGAGACCATATGCTGGTGCGGTCGGCCCTGGGTTCCTCCTAATGCAACACAATGCTAGACCTCATGTGGCTGGAGTGTGTCAGCAGTTCCTGCAAGAGGAAGACATTGATGCTATGGACTGGCCCGCCCGTTCCCCAGACCTGAATCCAATTGAGCACATCTGGGACATCATGTCTCGCTCCATCCACCAACGCCACGTTGCACCACAGACTGTCCAGGAGTTGATGGATGCTTTAGTCCATGTTTGGGAGGAGATCCCTCAGGAGACCATCCGCCACCTCATCAGGAGCATGCCCAGGCGTTGTAGGGAGGTCATACAGGCACGTGGAGGCCACACACACTACTGAGCCCCATTTTGACTTGTTTTAAGGACATTACATCAAAGTTGGATCGGCCTGTATTGTGGTTTTCCACTTTGATTTTGAGTGTGACTCCAAATCCAGACCTCCATGGGTTGATAAACCCATAAAACCCATAATTCCATTGATAATTTGTGTGATTTTTGTTGTCAGCACATTCAACTATGTAAAGAAAGGAGTATTTAATGAGATTATTTCATTCATTCAGATCTAGGATGTGTTATTTTAGTGTTCCGGTTTTTTTTGAGCAGTGTAGTTTAGATGTGATGGCTATTATAACATCTGCATAACCTACTTAATAGGGCAGAGAGCCTAACACTAGCACATCTGAAGAATAGTATTTTCTGAGTTATTCTTGGAAATTTAGGACTTCACCTTAAATTTGAGAGTCCCCCCCCCCCTCACAAATTCGTGAAATGTAGGTTGTTTTCTTGTAAATTTGTAATTTGTTCCTGACCATAAATGTAAGACTTTAATTTTGGAAATTCTGAGTTTCTTCTAGGAATATTACCCCCTACCCTGGCTCCATAATTAGGGGTCCAAGCCCGAGGGGGCTGGGGTCCAAGCATTCAAAGTAGTGCAGATCCCCCCCTTTTTTCCATCCGTAAGTAAAAGTAATACTGCAACCTAAACCTTAAACATCATGCATAAATTAAATGCATGATGATTTGCCCTGTAACTCCCAGAGGCTACATCACACTTTCAGATAGGCTAATATCCACGCATTCCCTCAATTGAGCTGTAGCTGGTAATATAGGCCACGCCCATTCCCCCTATAATTTTTTTTTCACAAATCTGAGAAATGTGCGAAACCTGCTTTTTTGAACTCCTAGGTGGTGAGTCCGATCTGCACTAAACTTTTCATGTAGAATCTCTGGACCCTCATGATCAAAAGATTAAAATAATTGTGATAATCCAAAATATGCATAAATTATAAAAAGGAACAACTTACTGTAGGTTACTGTCAAAGCAGGAAGTGATGCCTTATCTCTGCATAGGTCAGTTGGATTAACGGGGAACTTGGGCTAGTATGTTCCCGTGCCCCACCGAGGCTCTATGCAAAATGTGGCGCCAATCAGCCACTAGGTGGTGCTTATGTTGCAAAATCATGTGCTGGTGCAAATGTGCTAAGATTATTTTTCCAAATCACTGTTTTTGAAGTAATGTGTTTTTTAATCTCTGTGCCGCTCTCCACCTGTGATTTGTGTCACACCCGTGAGACTGCATGTCCGACTTGCATGCAGGTCTAGTTATTTTAATTTCTTTAACCTACAATGGCCCTAATACATCGTCGTGGGGAGCACTGTGGGAGGAAAGCAAGGAAGGAAGAACGAACGACAGACAGTAAATAGTCTGTTTCCAGAACATATCCGCAGGACAGTGTAGGTGTTTGTGTTAGTCAAGTAAATGTGTTTGTTTTTGCCTTCCTAATACAGTTAATGATCTCAATGCAGATTAGGCTACACACTCGTATACAGTAAAGTAAATACGGTAGCCCACTCATACACTTTCCAGTGGAGCATTTACAATGGCTAGGCAGAGGCAGAATAAATACTTCTGGTTGTAACAGTCCAGAAAAGCCCAAAGTAAAATCTGCTAATTTTGTCCGGAGCCTGGTGTCTGGGAAAACACAGTGCATGGCAGCAAACTTTAGGCAGTCACAGGAAAATATTTGAATAATCCCAACTAATACGATAGTGTTCAGGTGGCTTGATGCCAATACATTTCCTGCTACTCCAAACAGAGTTAAAGAAAGTGTAAACATGTATTTCACATACAGTTTTAGGTGCCTATGACACACTACATGAATGGATAAAGAGACCTTTTAATAGGATGATAAGGCTTCACCTCTGACCTCTGTTGTTAAGGAGACACAGGAAATGGAGATAAAGCTGTATCACATCTGAGAGGCTGATTTGAATAAAATGAATTAAGTATTTTAAAAGTAATACATCATTTAGAATCTTAAACAATGTGGTGTTTACATTTATTAACTACAGTGAAACATTAGCATTGCTGCGAGGGAGTTCATGTTGGCTGCTTGTTTCTCCACAAGACAGTTGTGTAGATAAAACCTTGCAAATACACAGTGATTAATGAACCCGCACGGCAACCTTCAGAGTAGCAACTCGCACGCCTGAAAACACGGCATGAAGCCCTCCTCTCCTTATCTGCCTGCTGACAGATGCAGCCTCCTCCCTCCTCTACACCACAAGGCGTAATGACTAACAGCTGGGGTGGTGGACTATTTTCAAACCCAAATGGGAATGGAGATGTACAGACGGTGTGTTATTATCTCCTCTGCTCGTGAAGTGAGCCTCGGTACCTGACCACCCACTCTCCATCAGTGAGTCACTCACACTTTTCTCTACCCATCAGCCCGCTCAGCTACTTTATAGGATTATGTGACTCATTGGCGCGACACTTAAAACCACCCATGGTGATAGAGGGCACACATTTTAGGAGGTATTCCAGCAACAGTAGATGTCTTAATGTGCTCTTAGAGGAGGGACGCTCTGTTAATGGAAGCTGGTTGAGTTGGAGAATAGGTATCTAGGAAAGGAGACACACATGCCATTTTCCCCCCACTATTGAGCCTGATATTTAATTTTCTCCATATGCAACTGTTCATCTAAAGTTATAATATGGGTTTAAAGACTGAAGCTGTACGTTACCTAACTGGAGAATCCCTGCCTGAGGTCACTGATGGTAAAGTCAAGTGAATACAACGAAACCTATTGAACAGCGCTCTCAGGTCATCTGCTAAAACAAACAAACTATGTAACACGACTGCTAAAGTGAATGTTTTTTGCACACGGGTGTGCGGGCGGGTGTTAGGGTTAGTCACATGGAAAGAATAGGAAGTGGTCACAAAGAAGAGGACTGCAGCTGTTGAACCTTCATGATCATGTGTAGCCAGCAGATATTGTTTGGTTTCAGGCGTTACGCCAAGAACCCAGTGACCCTAAAATAGTAAAATAATGGCACTCAAGCAAATCAAGTCTGTGCAGTTGCAACAGTCAGCTGGAATTTAAGCTTTTCAGCAAAGCTTAGTGTGAAAGCAGAACACCGACCCTTTGACCTGCTATCAGGAACATGTAGTGAACAATCCTCTTAATTTGTTACTTTTCATGTTTAATTACATGTCCTTGTTTAGGTAACTGTTCACAGTAAACCCACCACTTGGACAGAGAAAAAAAAAAAAAAGAGGCACACAGATGTGTGATAATCATGGCTACTTGTTTTTACTTCTCAAAGTTAGCAGTCAGTTAAATGTACATTATCAAAAAAGGCCCAACTTTTTCCACTTCTCCCCAATCTCCAGATAATATACAAAAAAAAGACAAACAAGGACATTATAAAGCTGCACAATTTGTACCAGATACCATAATAAAATACGCAATGCTACATTAAGTGGTTAAAAATACAAAGGGGAAAAAGTATATTGATTTTTTAAAACATCTTTGAAGAACATACAATGTTATTTTTTCTTAACAAGCCAAGATTTTTAGTAGAAAGTGCATTCTATATAACAAAGAAAGGAGGAGGAGAATCATTCGGCAAACTGAAAGACAAAATGAAACGAAATGACAGAGGAAAAGCTCCATGAACAAAGATAACAGAAGAAGGTATTTCAGACAGCGTGGAGGAGCCAGTGTAAAGTCACCAAAGCAGGAGGAACATCACTTTCACTTTGAGGGGAGGTCCATATTGGAGTAAAAGTGTATTTCTTTGAAAAAAAAAAATATATAAGCAAATTAACTTTATGCACATACTAAAAGAAATGTCCTTTGTTTGCTATGGTCCCTTCCACACTACCCGCCTCCACCCAGGATTCTCCTCCTTTCCTTGCCTAAAAACATCCACTCAAAGTAATCACCTCCACCCTTTCCCATGCAGCCAAAACTGCACTCTCTTCCACAATGCATTGTCAGTCCCTCCCTTCCCTGCGCCTCACCCACGCAGCAGTAAAGTGCAGAGAATACACACAAATGAAAAGGCTTTAAAAAAAAAACAAAACATTAAAATAAAATCTCATAGGAAAAAGGACAAAGATCTGTACTGCAAAATGCTGAAGCACAGCAGTGAACCCGAGGGGGCAGGATGATAGGCAAATAATGCAGCTTTGTTAAGACCCACAGAAATGGCAGGATAATTGCAGGTCTCAAATCAAAAAAAGGGGCATCCTTAACTTCTGAGCTTAACCACTTCAGACTTAATTCCATTAGAGCGCCAGAAATAGGATCATGTTAAAATTTACTGCTATTGTTCATCTCAGGTATCCCCAAATACACATATATTGGGGCACACTGTGTAAAAGCAGCTTTTGGTACAAGAGCACTGGGGACAACCAGACAGACAGACTGGTAGACTTATGCATGCACACATACACGCTCTCTCTCTCTCTCTCTCTCTCACACTCACACAAAACTAAACATTGCTCCTAAACACACATCTGATAGTCGCCAGACTAGGTGATGGGCTAACATCCACTTTCATGCCAAATACTTGCCACCCATTTATGCTTCTTTTAAACAAATAACATTCACACCATCGGCTATTACATTAATAAATGTAATTTCCTGTGCTGACTTGATCACATGTATGCTTATCTATACAAGAATTCCAAGTATTATGAGTTGTATAACCACTGCCTTTTATCCTGACATTTCCTATCATGTGCTAACAGTATATCTACACTGCAGAACCATTCGTTAGCTTAAAACTGAGCAAATTATGAGAACATAAAATAAAATAAAAAAACAACAACAACAACAACAACAACATATGAATGACTCAACAGCCATCATTCTGCGTAGGCAACATTCAACAGATTTAGACACACGTTTGCCAGTGTGGATCAAAGTATGCCAGTACGATGAAAGTCAAAAAACAAAACCTTTACATTACAACACCCCACACCAAACCGTGGAATATAGGCTGAGAGGAATATGCATAATTGCCTGTTAAGAACTGTGATGAAAAAGGTCCCAGGTGTGTATACTGTGTGTGTCAAATGACCTTTAACATGGTAACCCGTATAATTTCGACAGCAGCGAAGGGAGGTGGGGTAAATCCTGATGGGGCCATGTGACTGGCCCCTCACAGTGGCAGTATTTGACAGTCATCTGTTATCTAAAAACATCTGTTGACCAACAGTATTGAAAGCTGAGGTTGCACTGATCAAAGTAAGTAAATCAGTGACCATATGGTCTTTGTCTTTTTGTGTGTGTGCTTGAGTAAGTGTCAGGGTGTGTGTGCCTACGTCCTGCATAACTTGAGTTTCTTCGTCACAAAATATCAAGTCAAACCTAAGATCCATTGTAGAAAAACCAGGCTGGCAAGACATGTTCTGTATGACACAATTCACTGTAATTTTGTAATATTACACTTCTGAAAATCAAATGTGAAATCAAAATTAAGAAATATTTTATGTAATGGAATGGAAAGCACCATATAACCATGATATCTAGACTATGTCTAGATTCAACTAACCATTTACAAAACCTTTTTTTTTCCCAAATGTCCTTTTACAAAATTCCTCCCCGCCTTCTTACTGTAACCTCAGACTACTGCTGTTGCCTCGCTGACAGAAAGTCTCAGCCATGGCCTCTGGACAGAGAACAGCTCAGACAGAACCAGATACAACATTCTCAAAAACATTTCTGTGGGGGCAGAGGCTCTGCAGAACAACTAGGTTGAGTATTGCTATGGGGAGAACCTGCACAGAAAGCAAAAGTCGTGACCAATGTGCAACCACAAGTCAACATGACATAAAGAGGACAGTTCAATGACACTGATCTTTGATGATCTATGCCTAGGTAATACATACGGTGACTTCCACCAGCAGCTTTTGATGAAAAGGAGATACTTTACACCCATTAATGTACAGATAGAGAACTTCTAGAGGTTGTAAATTCAGTTGACCAGGGTGTTTAAGTAGGTGTCTTACTTAAATAATGTACACACTGAAGGTGTATCAGCCTGAATAACATACACAGGTGTGTTATTCAGGCTGATACAAGCTCGTGAGAAAGACAAGACGAGCTTGATTTAATTAAATCTGTTTGAGGGGAGCACCCTTGCATCAGGGGCCTAGCAACTGAGAGACTGAGGCAGGACATGAGAAGGAGGAGGAACAAGGCGCGGTTTGGTGTGAGCCTGCAGAGCTGTAACACAGTTCAGTGGTGCTGTGGGGCTCCGGGGCCCTTGTCAGGGGGAGCCATGTGGTGCAGGTAGCTGCTGTCTTCATGCCCACAGTGGTTTAAGGGCTCACTCTTGAAAAGGGCCGGGGGTGGGGGAAGGTGGGAGACCGGGGGCACGGCCAGGTGGTGGTGGGGGTGAGGTGGGGCATGTTGGGGTGTGTTTGAGAGATGCTGCTGAGTTGTCTGGGAGTGGGGATGATGGTGAGAGGCGGTTGAGTGGAGCTGTACGTGGGAGAATGTGTGTCCCACAGGGCCTCGTTGAGGCATGGGCCCTCCTGCCGGGCTGAGGCCCAGGGGTGCTGAGGTGGTGGCCGGGGAGGCAGCTGAGGGACCGGGACCAGCGGTGGAAGAGGAAGAGAAGGTGTTGGTGAAGATGCGGACAGGCACAGGTGGACTGCTGGTCTGCAGAACCACAGGACTGGTGACCCGGAAACACTTCTCTTTGTGTGCTTTGAGCATGTTGGAGAAGCGAAAGCGCTGGCCGCACACCTCGCAGGGATAGGGCTTCTCCCCGGTGTGGGTGCGCCGGTGACGCTTCATGTTGGGCCGGCTGGTGAAGCTCTTCCCACAAATCTCACAAATGAAAGGCTTCTCTCCTGCACAGATTCAGGAAATAAAAGACTGATGTGTGATAAAGACAAGACAGTGTAGCTACAATCTTTTTGTTAATTGATACAGAGAAAATAACATGATGCATCATTTGTTGTCAAATGTGATGGTTACAAAATTAAAGCTCTCCAAACAACAAAGTTAACTTTTCCCCTTTTCCAATTTCTCTTTAAAGAGAGCAACGGTTCCCTTTTAAAAATGCTAATAAGTTGCCATCTTGAATTGAGGGTCTTCACCGTCAACCCACCCACTCTGCAGGAAGCTATTACAATTCACACTTTGAGGAGAGATGTGAAAGTGAACAGCAGCAGCTCAGTTGGAATACAGCTCTCATTAACCTCCCTCCATGGAGCCACTGAATGTGCTACCACCTACACAGCCATCTATTAACAGGCTGCTGAAGGGCTCTCTAAATGCTGTATTCTGGCATGTTATATGTGAAGCTCCTCCAAAACAACTGAATATAAATAGGTGACAGCTAACAAGAAATCATGAAAAATCTGTAGTGCAGTGAACCAACCTTTGGTATTTTGTGTTTAACATGAGAACTACCTATTACAGGGCATGACTGGGTGTGTCTCCTCTTGCAGGAGGTTAAATTTGTTGCTAGTGGCAGGGCGAGGAGAGGGTAGCGTAATTACAGCTGGAGAAAAACAGTGAAGGATGTACAGGCTGCAATGCTCAGTTTGGTCTTAGAAATAGAAAGGCAGCAGGGACAGAAAATCAGAGGGGTATAATACAGCATGTGTCTAGGTAGTCATTATAAGCCACAGTATGTGCAAGGCTATTCTTTGATGTAGAACGTCCCTCTCATTACAAAACTGGGCGAAGTCTCCTGCTCTTACCACTATAATGTTCATCTTGGAAACATCCCATGTCTTTCCTTTTATAGAGTGTATGGTGACTGGCTGGCTGACTGAGCCCAGAAACATTGTTGTGTGGCAAAAGTTTCCATCTTGAAATATTTCAAATATCTGTATTTAGATTTGTAACATGCAGAATGAAAAACTGAACATCAGATAACAACTTATAAAATGTAAGGCCTTTATCGATAAAATAGTCTGAGGATCTAAACTAATAAAAAAAAAAGTCCTTTAGGCGTTTTCTGCATTTCTGTTCATGTGTAACTGAATAACTGTGAATATCAAGCAGAATTATAAAAGATTTAAAGATGCCAACGCCAATCCTGCAACAGCTGAGTCATCTTGTTGTTTGTTGTAATGTACTGTACAAGACTGTGTGATATTTAAATACTGTAGATGCTGGAAAGGAGGTGTGCAGAGATGAAAGGGAAGACTGCCAGAAAGGCGTGACGTCTGTCTCCAATGTAGTAAGGCTCTGCTGAGTGCTTCTAGTTTATTCTCTGTTTTTAGCCAGTATATAACTGAAATACTTCAATCAGTTCTCTTACATATGTTTTATGCTCCCACTTACTGTTATCTTTTTTAAACTGTAAAGTTGAGCTGCATAACTTTAAAATGTGAACAACATTACAAAAAAATCAATTTCCAAGTCTTTGTATTTATGCGAGGGTTTGCTTGTTTTCTGAATGAGTTCTGCATATCAGTTGTATCAGTGTTGAGGCTGGTGTTTGACCAGTTGGTGACGACTTTTACTGGAGACTCCACCCTGTTAGTTCCTGGGCCGTTGGAGACTACACTCTCTTGAACAGGAATGTCTTAGTGAGCAGGAACAATAGTCCATGAACTAAATTAAACCTAGGGTCTTCCATGCACTACATAGGTTAAGTTCATAGTTTCGTACAACGCTTCCCAGCTTCTGCAGTTGAAAGGGGCTTTATAACTAGAAGCAGGTGGTCAGAAAGGACCCCATGAACAACAGATCCTAAGAACATTGTTTCAGATGGTCAGCTTACAAGATGATGGATACACTTAGAAAGCCAAACTTGTAATGTCTCACCTGTGTGTGTTTTCATGTGCTCATCAAAATACTGTTTCATGTTGAAGTCTTTGCCACACCACTGGCACATGAACTGCTTGTGTCCGATGTGAATGCTCATATGGGAGCGCAGCTGGTACTTGTATTGGAACCGCTCGTCACAGTTCTACAGCAGAGACAATAGGGGTTTTCAGATAACATGCACACACCAGATCAGCACACGGGCATGCACACAAAAACATGCAAGCCAACAATAACCTGATTATTTGGGTGCATGTAGCCACACTGTATGTTTGCATTATGAGGCTTCCTTGGTTATCTTTCTAAAGTGAGATATTTATATTTTCAATGGCACCATATGGCACTAGAGTTAGGCCCCATCTACACTACTCCGCTTTTGTTTAACGAATACGATCTCTGTCCACACCAGTGTTTTAGCTGCATATCAGAGTTGATCTCCGTCTATATTAAAATGACTGAAAACCCACATCTAGTGGCCGTTCACATACACTGGGCATGCGCATGCCGGTTATCAACATGAAGCAGATGTTCTACTCCGTTTTTACAGAAGATTTGGCGACAGAATAAATAAATAAAGTATTACAGACGAAGAAACACACCAGATTTTATTTTGCAAGGACCAACAATGAGCTTGGACTGTTACTGAATATAACACAGGAGTTATATAAGCGGCAGCGTTTTCAAACTTCTCCGTTTTCGCCGTTTTAGTCTGGATGCGAAGTGCAAACGTAACATAAGGGCTCTGTTTTGAAATGACATCGCAGTAGTGTGGACGGGGCCTTAAACCACTGGTCTATACATACGCTTATAAGCATGTAATCACACATTACAGTGTAGGATGACTTCAAACATTTAATTAGGGCAGCTCCACCCATACACACATTTACCCCATGTGCCATGCATTCAAATTGTCAGAAATTAAAAGGCCTCGGGTGGGAGGAAAGCACGCCATCTGTCAACTTCGACTGAATTAATGAGTCAGGACAGGGATAGGATAATGAACTGTAACTAACCCTGTTGAGCAGAAATAAACTTGGAAATCTTGACACACAGCGTGACAAAATGCAAGAGATGTCAGTTAAAGCCCAAAAACACTGAACCTTTAGTTTTACATTTATTTTATGTTCCAGTTTGCTAATATTTGAAATGGTTTGACTGGAGCTTCTCTGTTTTAGCTCAGATGACATAACTGTCCAATGAATGTTCAAAATGCAGGAGGACAGTCCCCATCCGAAAGACATCAACTGAATATAGACTACTATTTTGGGTTGTTCACAAACCACAAGGCACAGAGGCTCCTCTGCTCAAACTAATGAGGGAAAACTACCTTAAGGCTCCTTTTGAGGCACACAAGGGCAAACTCATCAAAACAGTTACCTTCAGTCATTCCACTGAAACACTGCCACTCTTCCTAAATTCAGCTCAAATGTTGACTTTTGGGAGGTGTGTGTGTGTGTGTTCCTAATATCTAGAGCTGCGCGATTCGGAGAAAAAGTCATATTGCGATTATTGTGGACAATATTGCGATTCAATTAATGGAAAAAAAATGGTACTATGAGTCTACTTGCTTAATTATCAAGGAATGCGTGAAATACTGACATTTTGAAATGTGTATTTCTCAACTTGAACAAAGTTAAACAATAAACAATATTTAAGAACAACAAGTAAAACAGAACAAGGGGAGCAAGTTGCTCTACAGAGGAGGCGGCCAGAAGCAGCAAATATTGGCACAGTGGCACCGGCTCAACATACATACGTCTAATGCAGAGTCTCTAGTGGAGGAACTGTACACGAGTTCATTAAATAAAGAGACTGTGACTGAAAAAGTGACTGACAAGTACGTTGGCTCTGTGAAAAGTTGGACATGTTGAACAACAAAAGGCACCGACACAGCGAACGTTAAATGGCCAGCGAACAAAACCCAAACCTTCCTTATCTTTTCTCTACTTTTTTCTGTCTTACTGCTTCAGCTGCTGCCGGTGTTGCTACGTCTCCGTCACAGAGCACCGGCCTTTTTCTCGGTGCTCCAGTAACGAATCCGACTATAATTTGAACGCAGATTGCAGAGTGTCTTACACACTTTTACTGTTTTATTAAATCGCACACTTTTTGCAATTATGTAATCGCACATGACGACATCACGATTACATTAATTGTACAGCCCTATTAATATCGTTATCTGCCCCAAAAATACAGTCGGACTCAAATGTTTATGACAAACAATATTTAAGGCATTTTATCAATGCAGTATGTCAACATTGTACAGGTTCTCACATATGTGTTTATGGGTGTTTTTTAAGCAGGAGAATAAATTAAGCAATGACTGCCGGGAGGAAAACTCAAACTTCAACTGTGGAATTCACGTTTTTTTTGTTGTTAGGTGGAATTTCAACAGCTGAAGCATGTGAAAATTGACAGAAGAAAATGACAAAGAACAAGATAAACAAGCTTCCTTCAGCTCTAAAATTCCTTAGTGTACTAAATACACGTGCACCTGCACTAAACAAGACGGTGTCTGATCACACTGAAGGACGATTTGCATACAGCACAACAAACCTCCCAAAAACTGTTAAGTTATCTGTTCCAGCTTAGAGGTTTTTAAGTCCATGTCCAAGGTGAGGCAATCCTGTTCTCTAACTGTATGGCCTAACACAAATGTGTATTTTGTCTCTGTAGAAAAGGCTTTAGTTTCAACACATACAATCAATGACAGCAAAAAGCCAAAATTTGATCCAGAGTGGTCACTCCGGATACAGGTGAAACACATTATGATACTGCTGTGAATCTGTCTCAAACAGTTATGGACCCAATTACAATTGTTTGTACGGGGCCACATTGTGAGTATCTTACCTCACACCGGAAGGGCTTCTCTCCAGAATGCTGGAGTGAGTGAACTTTTAAAGACATGCTCCGTTTGAACGACTTTCCACATGTCTCACAGGTAAATGGCATGTCCTTGGTGTGAGCTGGTTTTGGGGGGGGGGGGGGGGGGGGGAGAGCGCAAAACAGTACTGAGACAACTACATAAATCTGATCAGGTAATATCAAGGTTTCAAGTAGAATAGCTGTTATTTTTAGCAATATCAAGAAACACTGTATTAACTCTATTAAGCTGAGCTCTGTCCATGTACAAATAAAGAAAATGTATGATGATCCTACAAAAAGATGCCACATAAAACAGTAAGTGTAAAGTCAAAATACACAGGGAATCATATCTATAATCTGAAACACAAATATAAAAAGGACAATTCTGTGGCTTAATGGTATTGAACTGACAGCCATGTGGTGGCTCACACCTCCAGTATGGGATATTACGGGGATGCAGGAATTAGAAACGGTAAAAATAATAAATTAAAAAAGGCCACCACTTACCAACCATGTGCTTACGGACGTGAGCCATAGTGTAGAACTTCTTCTCACAGATTTCACATGAGAACTTCTTTTCTGCATAGCCGTGCACAATCTTAATGTGCTCATGCAGTGACCACAGCTTCTTAAAAGACTTGTTGCAGGAGACACACTAAAGGAGAACAAAAAAATAAATCTAAAAACTATTAACATAAAGCATATTGTTGCTGATAAATATAAGCAGCAAAATCTGATGGCCATGAGATGGTTCTCATTTAAATTGTTTCACTGAACTCCAGCTCCCTCTGCTGGGAGAAAAATAATAATTAGTCTAATTCTCGACTCTGTATATGGGGTTGGTTTGCTACATTTACATGTCGCACGCCTCTGGAGCAACTAGGGGTTAAGTGTCTTGCTCGGGAACACAATGGTGGATGTCTCACAGTGGGAACCCAGGTCTCCCACACCAGAGGCAAGCATCTTATCTATGCGCCATCACCACCCTCAATGCTAGAAAATAAATACAGTTGTCCTGGCATTTCTTTTGGTGACTGCGGGGCCTACTGCAGAGTAACATCCATGCAGCATCATGCTGCCACCATCATATAAATAACCAAATTCAAAGCACTTAATATGATGGCCTGAAAGCTTAATTTTCATCTCACATCGAAGAGACTTTGTTTTAATATCTCCCACATTCCTTGTGGCAAACCCCAGCCAAGCTATCATATGAGCTCCCCCCCCCCCCAACTGTGTCTTTCTCCTTTCCACTACCATAAACCTTGTGACGCAACAGGGAGACAGTTGTGTGAACACTGGTGGTCCTTCAGAGCTGCCATAGACCTGTTGGAAGCCTCACTAGTACATTTATCTCACAAACGTTCCATTTTTTAAGTCAAGCTGTCTTACGCCTAAAGTTCACTGACTAAGGCGCGTTACGGCTGCGCCGCGGTTGCTGGAGCTAATCGTGGCCATTCTAGTCAATGCTTGTGACCACCAGACGTGGCCATAGTGTGTCCCAGTAGGTAGCCGGCCTATTTTTGACAGAAGCCGCGTCAAGCAGCACAGACCAGATCGAACCAGGAAGGAAGTCAGACACAGAACGGCATTGAGAATTTGGTAAATTTTCAAAATAAAAACACCCTGTGAAGACTCCTGATTGTAAAACAGGATTAAAAAGAAACAATTTAACTACATAGCCTATTTAATCATAGAAGAAGCACAAAAAGCAAACACCAAATCAACAAAATCTAAACCTCAGCAAAATGCTCCGATTCTGAAATGCTCCTTGTGTAGGGATGGGGATCGTTCATTTTTATTGATACCCTTATTGAGACTGCTTAACGATCTGATTATTTATCGATACCACTATCAATACTTTAATATTATTTGGTGATGGTTATTTGGTAAGACCAGACCCAACGGGCATGAGGAAAATATTCAATGTGCGATAACGTTACAGACTGAGATGACATATCACTTGTGATAAATAAACATATATAGAAGTGTACATATTAACTGTCTGGTTGTTTTTAATTTAATATTTTAAATACAGCTAAATGTTGTTTCTAGAGCAGCAACATTAACGTTTACAACAGCAAAGTAACTCAATAACTTTATCTGACATCACAAGTAGTGAGTGACGTTTAGAAAGAATAACACCAGTCTGTATCAGTCCCTCCTCTCTCGCTGGCTGCAGGTAACCTTACCAGGTTTTTAAGACTACAGACCAGTCTGTGCTCCAGACAGACAGCTTTCTATTTAGCTTGTTTTTAACATTTGGCTGATGCAAAGCTAGCGTTAGCTTGTATAAAACATACAGGATGAGATACTGAGGACAGAGATGATTAAATTAACCATTTCTACATGTTTAACGTTACCTTACAGACAGGTGTATTGATAAAGTATTGTCTTTCTCGCGAAGGTTTTATTGCACGTACCTACAGTAATGAACGTAGCTGTCACCAACTAACGTTACACACCAAAGTTAGGGTTAAGTTAGTTTGGAGCTAACTTAACCCTCACCGTATTCCACCGCTGTGTGTGTGTGTGTGTGTGTGTGTGTGTGTGTATATGTGTGTGTGTGTATGTATGTGTGTGTAGGAGCCGACAGAGAGCAGGCAGTGACTACAGCCTGATGATTTTCTTATCCATTGTGTTTCAAATTAAATCAGATTTGACGCTCGAGACACAACATTACATCATAGGACCCGCAAGTCTCGATAGCAGAATCAATAAGCTCGAACTTTATTGATTTTCGGGGTTTGACTTTGACGCCGGGCTATGGACGATTAAACGGATCAAAACCGTGGCGTAGACGTAACGTACCGTAGTCGGTGGACTTTTGGATTCAATTTAAAAAAAAAAAAACATTTTAAAATAACCTTACCGTACTCTGAGTGATATTTATGCTTGTATTCCACTGCCGATTTGTTCTTTTTGGATTTGTTTTTATAAGACCCTTACGGTATAGTTTTGACAAGGAAATTTCCTAACCAGTTGCTAGACCTTTCAGATACAGGTGTATTGAACCTAATAATTTTCTTACTTTCATTTAATGCAGCGATCTCTTTTCAACTTATTATGTAGATTCTAAAAAACACTTGGTTACACCAGGGATGTTTTGGTGCGTCAGAGTAAAAGAGGCGGTGAATACTTGTGCAAAATGGTTATTTGATTTAATGAAAATCCACATCACATCCGCGACTATTAATAAAACATGACCATGACCAACAAGTCCATCAGTGTGTCAATAATGATGCATTTTATTTGCTTAGTAAGTGACTATAATAAGACTTCACTTAAGATTAAATGCACACATAAGTAAGCCTGATGTATATGTAGAATTGATTCCTTAACAGATAAAGAGTGAATATTGCAACAAAAACTGATCTATTGTTGCTGTGGTATAGTCAGTGGAATTTAGCAGTCAAGCGTGTTACTGGGAGTGGAAGACTTCAGTGTGTCAATAATACACATCTTACAGAAGAAAGCATTTCATTTGAGTGTTGCCTCCTGGACAGAACACGTGCATCAACAGGTTCCGCACTAACAAATTCTATTTTTCTGCTCCATTAAGCGAAACTAATTATTACAGAACTTGTGTCTTCACAGCATGACATGGTTTCAGCTGGTTTAGGGAAAGGTGAAAACAGAGTAAGATGCAAATTAAGTTCAGCAAAACAGGGGGCTAAGTTAAGCTATTCAAAACAGCCATATGACCCTTGGAGATTAATGCTGAATCATAGTTTTAGAGAACTTAAACCAAACTGAACCTACTTATAATACCACCAATGACAGCAGGTGACAATATTTGTCATGTTTACCAAAATTTTTTCTCATGTTAGTAGTTTGAAAAGGTCTGTGTGAGAATATTCCAGTCTGCTTCTACTTTTCAGTTTTAAAATGATTATGGTTTCAGTTTTCCATCTTAAATTTTACCAATCATTTTCAAGTAAAAAACACATTGATAACATTATTAGGCAGTATTTTGGCTACAGACATGGTAACTTAGTGAGATCAAAAATTGTTTTGCACAGCAACAAAACTAAAGTGTTCCTCACACTTAAATCACACTCTAGTTATTGCTAATTTTATGAATGCAGTATAACAGTAAATAGAACAACTATACGTTTCACTTGACTGTACTTATTAGGCAAAACATGCTAAACTTGAGCATCAGGTTAATGCAATCAAATCACCCAAAATAAATCTAAAAGTAAATTGCTCTGGGCAGCTGCTAAATTAAAATAGGTGAATAAAGATGTTATTAAATAATATGGTGAACTGAAAATGCACTCCTGAATTTGCAAGAATAAGTACAGATATGACATGAGACTGGAGAGGTTTGCTTTACCTGGATGTTCTTCTCACAGTCCGTCTGCTGGTGCAAGGCCAGCTCACTCTCCAGGACAAACTTTTTGCCACATTTGTCGCAAATCTGCATTCGCCTGTGAGTGACATTCATGTGTTTCTCCAGGTACCAGCGCGTGTTAAACACTCGGGGGCACTTTTCACATGCCAGCATCTCCTTCTCTTCCGCCTCCGCTTTCCCTCCTGTCATCGTGGTACCGGCAGACGATGGGGCTGATCTGGCCGACCTGCGCTTGCTCTTCGGAGGCTCCATGCGCTTCCGCCGGCCCCTGGTGGTCATTCCAGGAGTGGAAGAGCTCAGAGCTGTTCTGAGGCTTTTCCTCCGTGGCTGGCTGGGAGCTGCTGTGCTGCTAGCACCCCGACGGGCCCTCTTTGACCTCGTTCTTCGACTCTCATTGTCATCTTCCTCGTCGTCTTCCTCCTCTTCATCAATGGGGCTGTCCTCCTCCTCCTCCTCCTCCTCTTCTTCTTCTTCTTCTTCCTCCTCCTCCTCCTCATCATCCTCCTCACTTCCAGCTCTCTCAGAGTCTTCTGCTGTGGTTCCAGTTTTGTTGTCCCCCTTGGATACATGAAGTGTCTGGTTATTCAGGTTAACCTCGACAATGATCTGCTCACGCTTGAAGCCTTCGTCCTCCCCATCCTCATCCTCTTCTTCCTCATCGTCATCGTCCTCAGTGTCGTCAGAGGTCCCGTCGATGCCAGCTTGGGACCCCTGTGTCCCCATCTCCTGCCCTGCTCCTCCCTCTCTGAAATACTGCTTATGTTGCTGTGGAGTCACATGTTGAGAAGGCAACTGACCAATGTTCTGATCTCCCATGGATGTCTTTGCTGCCATTTTATTGTCTACTAACACAGAATAAGGCTTACCACCAACCTCCCTCTTGTAAAGCTTTCCTGTCAGGTCCAGATCTGGGTTAGGCGAGTGAAAATAGGACTGGGACACCGGCGCCCTGCGTCCTTCCTCCTGTGACATCCCGCCAAGGCTAGGAATGGAAACCTCTTCCTTGAGGCTCTTGCAGGGTTTCATGAAGAGGGAGAGGGGATGGAGAGATGACGTAGGTGGTTGGCAATGGAAAAAAGTAACTGCTATGGTGCCTAAGTAGACAACTCAAATCTCAAGCAGGCCTACAAGGAGGGGCAGGGGACGCCACACCAATCCCCCACCCTCCTCCTACTAAAGAGACAGGAAGGAGGGGATGAGGTGACAGATAGTCAACCTGATTCAAAAAGAGCATCCATGCTGTCCAAGGTAGGAAATGCAGTTGGAAAGACATACAATCTGTTCCAAGTTTTGTTCCATGTGCTTAAACATCAGACTGAAAAATCAAAGGCTCAGTGTCTTTGTTGTCAAACATTTGAAGCTAAATTCCTCTCTGGTTATTATGTGAGGTGTAGGCAGCTGCCAGATTCAGTTTCGCTGAACACTGCTGCTCTGCGGGGTGCCAGTGTCTTCAAACTGCAGAGCAGGTAAAGACGAGCTGAATGCCAGAGATGGAACTTCTGTAAGGACTTGTGTGTATTGCTTGAAGAGCCATTTACAGTGCATTACCTATGAGATAAGACAGAAAAGAAACAGGGAGAAATATGAGATTAAGGTTCCCTTCTGCTGTCCTGTGTCACTAGAGTCTGTGAACTGAAACAACAGACAGTTTTCAACACTGAGCACCACATTTGCACAAATGTTTCAGTGAGTGAGTCAAAACCACAGCCTTCACAGATGAATGTGAGCATATTGAATTTCAAAAGCTGAGTATTCTAAATATTTCCAGGCCACAACTGAAACACCTTAACATAAAAAAACAATATAATGCAGAGATGGTTTGCTTTCTAGAGTGATACACCGTAATACATCTTGTTAAAGCAAGGGCATAATTGCAACAACTGAAATCCAACAAAACACGATTATTCTCCACTGAGACGCATGTATTGCAATGGACTATACAGATCATTGTACATCACTTATAATCTGAATCTTGAAACTATGAATAATTGCTCCATACAACAAACTTCACTCAATCACAGTTATGTTTCATATCTTTTAGTCTTCAACGTTTAGTACAATTAGCAAAAATGATCTGAGCACTTTGCTAAACCCTAACCCACACCAACTTGAAGGCGACAAAGCAAGACTATCTGTTTTTATGGGGTTTTTTAAGCAACACACACCAACTTGCACACACACCTCCCATTGACTGTTACAGAGCGTAGTATAACCACAGCTCAGGAGCTTATATTGCAAATACAACCACAGGAAACTATATTTCAAGTTTTCAATGAAGCCAAAGAAACGCACACTTTGAAACCAACAGTATGCAAGACTCCTGCAAGATTCTTGCAGAATCCATGGTGTATGGCGTTTGTATATTCTTTCGTACACATATGCTAAGGCGTTCCTGGTTGACAGTTGGTTGACCTCGAACAACCTTACACCCTACTTGCCTTAATGAGTGTGCACCAGGGCGGTATGTTCACTAGAAAACCTCCCAAAGCAAAAAAACAAGACAGACATTTCCTTTCTTGGAGACGGCATACATTCTCTGCTCTGTCTTAACAAATGTCTTGTGCTTTATTTCTTTTAGCACAATGCTCCACCGTCTTCAAATAAAACATAAATAGGCCGAGAAACATCCCCCCAGCAGACCCATGATGGATGTTTTGCTGTAGACTTTAATTTACAGTCATGATTAACATGAAGGGTTTGTGGGAGTGCCAGAAAAAGGAGAGTGTGTGCAAAGGAGGACATCATAAGTGACATGATGCGTTCAGAACTACATAATTAAAGCAAACATGATTCTAATTATTTTGACAATTGCAATCACAATTATTAGTCATCTTTTCCCAGAGCAGTTTGTCACCTAAAAAGTGTTCATTTTCATGTGTGGTGACTTACTTTTACTATAGTCATCTAACTACTTTTTTACTTAGGGTTCAATACCAACCTTGATACAAAGCTGCACTTGCTTGAAGTCATCAGTAATAAAACCATAATAATAGCTAAAAAAAAAAAAAAAGCTTTCTTCAAGATTTACAACTATTTTACTCTAACATTTTTCAACTTTGATCTAATCCATTTTTTAAGGATGCTCTGTGTATCTCAGTAGTCAATCAGAAATGAAAGTCTAATAATAATCTCTCTCGTTAAACTCTAAACTGATTTTCCTGTCTGTCCTGTCACTTCTCGATAGATTGTAATAAAAATCATGCAACAATGAAGGCTGGTGTAAATGGAACTAAACTATGTTTGCAAGGTTTATATTACAGCCAAACGCACAGTCTTGAAAGCACAAGTGAAAGCCATTTATGTAGATTTTGACTATCCACACATACAGACACACCTGTCTTCCTGTGCATGCTGACTCTGATCCTTTCTGAGAATTGGACAGCAGCTCTGAGAGCATTAAGACCACAAGGGGAGGGCGAGCTCTGCACTGACAGAGCAACTCAACTCACATGGCTGTCTTAGACACAAAGCCTAATAGATTATCCTGGGTCTGGATGACAGAGGAATATAAATTGCATGAGAAACCACTGCCTGAAACGGTGTTATCATCAATCAGCGGGTTCTGTTCTCTCTTAAGCACATGCATGTTTAAAATAACTGTTTATGGTTTGAAAGAATATACAACAATGAACTTTAAGAATGTATTTAATTTAACGCATCAAAAATTCTAAATACACTGCTGAAAACTGTCAAAAAACCCCTCCCAAAGGCCAATAACCAAACACACACGGTGGTTATGTAACCCATATTGAGTAAAATCCTTCCACTCGCTTATCATTAACAATGATGAGTCATTTGAGAGTTTCACTCACATCGAAATAATGCAGTCCTTTGATGTGGGAATGAAGTAGAGCGTAGACTTCTCAATATCACTAGTAATTAGTCTTCACACTCACCTTGTGAGATTGGGAGATCAAACCTATTAAAAAGATGATAATTTCTGACTCCCTTTTTTAGTTTGGACAGCTTTTAAAGATGATCTTTGCACCCTGATGCTAAAAAAAAAAAAAAAGAATAAAAAGAAGAGTGCAAAAATGAATGTCTTTCTGACAGCCCATTTCAGTAATCCAAAGCATTACTAATACTTGCCCAGAATTCAAAGTTTATTCAACAATAACCAATTTATAGCCTCCCTCAAATCATGCTTCAGAGACATGATGAGAAACCAAAACTAGCTTCATATAGTGTAAGCCACAATGCCAGTCATATACCGGATAGATGCTACTGTGGCTTAAAATTTGAATGACACAGGATGGGAGCTTTACTGCAGTGACACTGTACAACACAAAACCAACAGCACCAAATAGTGCAAGTGTTCGCAAGTGTTTGGCTTTTGACAGTAAAGCAGATGAGACATCTGAGGGAGTCAAAATATGTCACGTTTACCTCTTATTATGCAGCAGCGCTCCTCAAATCCATGCTCCCTTCCAAGTCTAGACTTTAATGAGCTTTCCCTTTCGCAGCTTGTAGAGGACTGTGTAAGGGTTCACATTCCTCACTCTGTCCAAACTCATAAGACCTTAACCAGCTCACTGTGTGGTGCACTGCGGGGGTGCTCGATGTCTCTGTAGGTATTTGGCCCTAAAGCCCATAATCAGGTCACAGAGCAGTACCTAGTGTGTTTGGTCTGTTATAAATCATCTGAGGAATCATAGAGAAGTGGCAGAGTGCTCAGCCCCAAGCTCTCCCATACCAAGTTTCTGTATTCTCATCACTGGACAGAGACACTGTCAAGCCTGACAGCAGCCTACTGACGTTCACTACTGGGTTATCTCTATTCCAAGTAAGGAAAGATAACATTGAAACAATCAACATGGCTCTTTGTTTATTTTGGCAAACGATTTATAGCAATTGACGTTGCAAAGTGCGAAACCATCATCATACATCAGTGCAGCAGCTACTTTCTGGTTTTAGAGAGCTACAACATCTTGCTGCGAGCATTTTTTTTTTTCAGCTACAAGACTGGCAGTTAAGGTTGTAGTGTGTGTGGAGCAAAGAAAGTTGAGACTAAAAGGTAACACTGTGCACCGAACAGCAGTAACACTGTGCAGGCCTGGCCAACTTAGGCTACTTAGCTAGCTAGCAGGGCTCCATAGGTATTAACCTGCACACACATGACAAGCTAACTTGGCTACATTAGCTCAAGGAGCTGCCATTAGATATTTTAGTGCAGTTAAGGTGACTCGACCTCATGAACAATCGTATTACCTTGCACAAGCTACACCATCTAAAGTCTAGTATCTGCTGACATGCATTAGATAACAACCGATAGAAGACTTTCACTTTGTTTTAACCCCAAAACCTCCCAGATTTGGGCTAGTTAGCTTATAGCTAGCATCAACGTCAAATATTTAGCATAAACCTTACACTTTATTTCGATACTGCACTTTAAAGGGGAACGTGTGACAGTTATGAAACCCACATGAAGCTAGATGAAACGGCGATGTCATGCTTTGTTATAAATGTATCTTTCGTGTCGTGCAAGAGGAAAAGCCCCGCTTTCCTAACAAAACCCCGACTGCTGTAACGTTACTGACAAACCCACTCAACTCGACACTGTCACAAAGTCAGAGCTAGCTGAGCTCACGGACAATCCTGACGGTTCGCTCCGGGGCCACCGGCTACCTGCGTGAGCTTTCCCCAGCAGCTGCCATGCTTGTCATAAATGTAAGTGCATACAATTAAGTTATATAGCAACATTTTGTTGTCGTTTTGCTGGCTTACCTCCGTCGAGAGCGACCTCCCTCTTGCGTTCGTGCAATCAGAGTTGCACAGATTCAGGGTTGCACGCGCAGTTCTTCCCTCGCTCGCTGTCCCTCTACATTCGCTGATGTGCATTTAGAAAGGGCAATGCCAATTATCTTTCTGTGCAAAATGTGTGAGTTTATATGTTGATGTGCTGCGGAGATACCTGCGCACCGGTGTCTTCAACCCCGCTACGTGGCCCGGACAAGCTCTCGCGCGTACCACCGCCGTCCCGCGCTCATCCCAGGCATTCAGGCCGCTGTCTGGGCAGGCGCGCGGCTGCGTGTCTGGGTCTGGATTCTTTTCGTCTCCCTCCAAACCAGACAGGGCACAGCGCGCGCACACGCGCTGAGCTGAAATACTTGATTTATGAAATAATAATGATAAGACCTCGAGGACCGTTTTATCCTCTCAAAGGAAAAATCCTAGAAGAGTAATGAATCTATGCTATTTTTACCATCAACTCTTACTCTTTAATTATTTAATTTTAACAGTAAGATATTTGGCCTGGTCACGGAAAGCTCCCAATTAAGTTTTGTGTTTCTCATTTATTTTCGATGCAAACTCCCAGGAAATTGGCTAAATTCGATATTTCAGTTATCTTAAATGGTAAATAACATCAGTGACACTGTATAGGACAAGGGGTTTAAATTTGATGTTGAATATAAAACCTCTAAATGCAGTAAAATTAATCATGAATTAATGACTTCTAAAAATAATTGATTTCATCTTCAACTATATATCAGAATGTATTGTTTAAAACCCATTAGATGAATAGAAGTTTCAATTTCTTTACAAATAGCCCCTTTTATAAAAATATCACTCGATACCTTAAACTTAGCCTGTGTCATCAAAAGCACACAAATCAGGTCAAAACTGATATTCATTTTGAAACATCATAATAGTGCAATTGTTAAGATTGCCAAGATTACTGTTCATTCCAATTCTGTCAATGTAAATATTGTACATATCCATACTCCTTTTATATTTATATATTTCTCTACCTACCAACATCTATTATTTCTATTCCTTTATGCCTTGATGTGCAATGTGTGCCAATGTGACACAAGAATTTCCCCTCAGGATCAATAAACTATTTCTGATTCTGAAAGCAACAATGAACAGTGCAACTGAAGGTTCATCTTCTACATTTTTTTTTTTAAAAGCAGACATAATTGTGATACACCCTCCTGTGGTGACTATTATCATTACAGTCAAGAGAAAATGCTGTAAGTTCCCATCTGAGGCCTTGAACAAGTTTGACCACTAAGAGGTAGAAAGACAATTTTATTAAGTTGGACCATTTCTGAAACAAGGGGCTCACACTTTCTCCACACAAACTAAAGACACAGCGACCACTGTACTATCTGACAGGCACATTCCAACTGACTGGTGGTGGCACTAATATTCATGATGACGTTATTTGCTATAAAGCAAATATATTTCATACATTTAATCCATTCAAGTCAGAACACGCAAAGACATTAAGTCAAATGAATAAATCTTTGAGTCAGTTATGTCTGTGAATCAAAAGAAGAGCCTTTCATTACAGATTTGAATTTAGTTATTCACACAATTTGATATAACTTTCCAGCACAATAACAGATAATGGCATTTATCAATCGCTTATCTTATACAGGAATCACAAACTGTTTTCTCCTGATGTCACTCCCTTGCTTTACACACATGCAGTGCTCTGAATCTCAAACAATGCAGCAAAGACGAATCTTAAGAGAATTTACTTCGTCAATTCTTTTCAAAACAAAGTACTAATTTTTATATATATATATATATATATATATATATATATATATATATATATATATATATATATATATATATATATATATATATATATATATAAAAAAAATGTGTGTGTATGCGCTACCCTTCACTTCCTCACATGGACTTAATGTATCCTTCACAGATCTCTCACTTTGTCTCCCACCATGCTGTCAAAAGCAGAGCCCAGTCCAGAGTTGGCTAGAGAAAGAGTGGGAGGAATGTGTGAAGCTGGGAGTCCTTTATTGAATCCTCCAACCACCCCTTCCATGGCCCTTGTAATGGGCTAGTGACAGTAAGTGGGGTAGACATGAGGTGAGATGTTATCACTGGGGCAACTGGAGCAATGTGCCCTGTCCTGAGGGCAGGTAAGTGACGTTGCGGGAGCGGGAGAGCTGAAAAGCGATATCCTCGGCTGCCTCAAGCTTACGTAGCTCTACCAGACCATCACCAGCCTCCATCAGGGAGTTGGCAATGAGCAAGGCAGCCTGGGAATCTCCCTCGGCTGAAATGATCGCCGCCTGCTTCTGTTGCTCTGCCTTAAAGGATGAAAAGATTTTGTGAGTTACCTTAATTTACAATTATTGCAATTCAACCTTCCATCTTTTCTCCCTATAGAGAGCCTAAGCCATCCCCCTCTGGTGGACAAACATAGGACCTTATTTTGGAAAAAAATATATACGCACTCAGTGGAGAGAGACAACTCATTTGTTGAGTCACGAAAGTCTCAGTTTCTCATAAAACTATCATTACCTTTTCTCCCAATGACCAATGAAGCTAATGTCAAAGAACTTACATGTGTAGATGATGTAATGAAAAGGGCCAGAGAATCTCAGGTGAGATACATTTGTGCATGGAACATGGAAAAGTTATCTAGCTAGTTGCAAGCAAGCAATCGACATTAGCTAGAATCACAGCATTAACATGTTGGTGACGTATATTGTGCGATACCAGAGATGCAGCTCATTAAGTGGTTTCACACTAAAGTAAATGTTACTCTACTGTTGACGACACACTGCAACTTTCTTGATGGACCAAACTATTTTGACAAATATGCGTGTATTTCAGAGTAGGGCTCAATGATTAATTGCATTTGCGATATTATCGTGATATGATAAAGCAAGTTTTCTAATCACAAAGGCTGCGCTTACGCTTTGGTCACATGACACACGAGAGTAAACCAGTCTGCAGAGGAAGCATCAACTTTGTACGTTACGCATAGCTTGACTTGTTGTTGTACAATGGCCTTAAGCTTGAGAGAAGCTGACACTACAGAAACTTTAGTATCACACAGGGAATGAAAGTAGCACCCGCCACCTGTGGGTAACTTGGTGGTTGAAATCGTTAGGTCATCCGGCGCTTAAGCTAACAGGAAAAACTTGGGTTGGGTTAGGGACGGACTTAGGCACTCTATAGACACAGCATACAATGTTTCTGAAGTAGTATTGGGATGACCTGTGTGTTAAAAATGATACCTTTTCTACAATGAAACGGGCCCTCTCAGCCTCCTGCTGGGCCACCTGCTTCATCTCAACAGCCTCTGTGAATTCTTTGCCAAAGGTCAAGTGTGTCTGCAAGAAGACAAACAGTTGTTAAGTTACAACCCAACTGCAAAAATAACATGGACATTGTTGCAATATGTGCCGGCAGCTTCATACCAGTGAAACATCATCCAAGATGAGACCGAAGGTGGAGGCTCTTTCTGTTAGGTCCTCACTGACCTGCCGAGACACAAGCTCTCTCTGGGTGATGAGCTCACCAGCATCAAATCGAGCCTGTGAAATAGAAACACACACAGTGGCTTATGAGTCCGTTTATCAGCTGACTCATAACAAAAACATTCATCTGCTTATTTGCAACCACTCTTTTTGACTGAGACTCACCACTACAGCCTTCAAGACCTCTGTGGTGATTGATGGCAGCACCCTCTCATCATAGTCCTCACCAATACTAGTGAAGATGCGTGGCAGCTGGTTGGTTACCGGCCGGAAGAGGATACGCAATGTGATGTTTACATTCTGCAGATCTGTGTAAATGATGAAAATAGAACGCTTACTGATTATACAAATAATAATTGTATTCATAGATTAAAACCTCATGTGTACAGTACAATTTAGTAGATTCATAGATACTGTTAGCACATTTTGTAAACAAAATAACATATATAGCATTGTTACATTAGGATGTTAGCCATGCCAGCTTATTTTTCTTCTTATAAAAGAAATTAGCATTTCCACAAGGCTAATTGCATCCTCACAGAGCTCATACAGCCAACTGAGTTTTAAAAGGGACAGAATGTAGGTAATTGATGTACCTTTGCTGCCTGTGATGACAGGCACGTTGCGTGGACGGGAGCGGCAATCAAAGATGATAGGTTTCTGAACCCAGGGAATGAGGAAGTGGGTCCCTTCACCCACAACAATATCTTGCACTCCTCTGAACCTGTCAAATATCACAGCCCGGTGCCCTGCATCAACTGTAGCAAGGAGGATTGTTAGTCTTTCTGCCAAAAGGTTTGTGTATACAGCATACAGGTTTGTATAGTTCTACAGCAGTCAAATGTTATGTTGAGATTTTTTTTTTCCTAACCGTTGACACATTAATAAAGAGCTACAAGAGGTTACATGGCTGCTATCGGGTTCATTACAGACATAATTTAAAAAACACATTCATCACTTTGACAACACAAATTCACCAGTATGAAACACGATACTAATTAAAAAAACAAACAAAAAGAGAAACGCTGTAAATCGTACACTAAACTGAATTACAACACAAGAGCTAGATGAATAAACTATGCTTAACATGCTAGTAGAGCTGCAAGGATTAATCGAATACTTGATTAGTTGTCAACTATTAAATTAATCGCCAAGAATAATCGGTTTGAAAATCTTTAGCTTCTTAAATATAAATATTTTCTGGTTTCGTAAACTGATTATCTTGGGTTATGGAGAAAACAAGACATTGGAAGACTTCATCTTGGGCTTTGGGAAACACTGAACGTCATTTTATTTTTTTATTTTTTTTTACAATTAATAGTAACCCTATTTTGGAGATGCTGCTGTAATAATCACTCAGTGACTGAGTTGAATGAGTGCATTGTTCATATCACGGTAAAAATTAGGTGAATTGATTGAAAATGACCACCGCGATTACAACGTTAAGTGTTGTTAGGTATGCAGATGACCAGCAGCACCCACCATTGTAAAGCGCAGAGTTCACAACACCTCCACCAACGGCGAGGGCCAACCCCAACTTCCCAATAGACTCAAACAGCTTGGCCATCACAGCAATCTATTAGCAGTGAAAATAAGACAAGAGGTTGACACAATTACACATCACCAACATTAACGCTACACAATGTAAACAATTTGAGTGTTTGTGACAGCACTTTGAAAGTCCTTCTAATCCAGTAATAGTTGGCCTTGGGCTGAGAGATGCCAAGGCTTTGGGTGTTAGCTAAATTAGCTCAGCAGCTAGCATTAGCTTTTCGGCTAGCTATGAACTGAGATGAGTGGCAAGCTAAGCCGCTAACCCGAGCACTGTAACTTAGAGTTTATGACATGTAAAATACTACATACACATAATTTGGGACATATTAAAACAGCAATAAAACTTAAATCGGTCAAGTCCAAATGGCTCGCCAGGTGACTGTAACTGTTACGCATGTTATCTCTCGTTGATGGACGTGCAGACTAGCTGCTCGTAACTGTTACTCAACACTTGTGATATAATGTAATCTATATGTAAGATATAAAAACCATGTCCTGTTCGCTTTGTAATTATTGCTATACACACGTTAGGCTGTACCAATATGTATCTCAAGTGTAACGCATGTTACTACTCACCTCAGTGTCGCTCAGATGTCTATGACCTCCACCGGACACGACGTGCGTACAACACATGAAATATCTCCTTCAAGGCGCCTGCGCGCTGCACGTAGCAACGTAGCCTCTGATTGGACAAAAGACAGAACTCTTCTATTACAGCTTGTTTCTATGTGGATGGTATTCAATGTAATAGTGCATTACTGCCACCTACTGGTTTCAGAGCCTGAAAGGACTTTACATAGTTGAAGGATTATTTAATAGCTTCATTGACTGATTGAAAAGATAAATAAACTTTTCTGGCGGCAGTTCATAACTTCCACACTGTAAATCATTACAGCCCCATTTAGGTATGTCCACTTCTTTTTAACTCAAAGAACTCTGACAAGTTTTGATTTTGAACTCTACTGGATGAGTTTTCAAAAGTTAAACTTGCATTAAGTTATTGTGTTGACCATTTGAGACTTTTGTCAGATATATGTGTGTTGATCGAACTTGGGTATGTAAGTTATCAGTGGAATAAAAAGGCAGGTGTGCAGGGATGGGATGTCAAAGTTGAGGGATGGACATAATCAACTAATACCACAGTATGAAGTTGAAACAAACATTCTGTAAAAAGTTCAATCAACTAAAAAACAACAACATTGGGTCAGCTAGAACACTGTAGTTATATCAACATTATGAAATTTAATTTGTGTGTTGAAACAAAGGCAATCTTCAAATTGATTCCAGTTATCTTGGATTTTCAAGGCAGCAGGTGAACATGCGTTTCCAACTAACTTGAAATGTCTTACAGTGTACTTTGTATCTTTGTGTACTGTGTGCTATGACAACTGCAATATCAGATACTGTGATTAATGTAGTCTTACTATGTGAATTAGAAAATGATTTGATCTTTGTAATTAAATTGGTCTGTCTGTCAGACTGACCTCAGTCATATTACACACATTCTTTGTAAGGTCAAGATGGGTCAAATCAACTATTCTAAATTATTTCATTTGGTATTGTTATTGTATTGCACTAGTTCCTTACTTACTAACATAAGATACTCCATTACAAGTGTAAAATTCTACTCAGGTAAAAGTACAGAAGTAGCCTACTTAAAGTATCATAGTAAGACTACTTGTTCCACAGAAAAATGGCCCCCATTATGGCTTACCTTTACATTACCTTTATTCATTTAGCTGACGCTTTTATCCAAAGCGACTTACAATTGCTAAGTGTGTTGGAGGTTGCACGCCTCTGGAGCAACTAGGGGTTAAATGTCTTGCTCAGGGACACATTGACAGGTGTGTCACAGTGGGGAATTGAACCCAGGTCTCTCACACCAAAGGCATTCATTATTATATATGGCATTATCAGATTGTTCCTGATGCAACAATGTGTAAGTAGCATGTTTGTTTGTAGCTGGATGAGGTGGAGTTAGGTTAAACAAACTACTTTAAGTTCACTTAGTTTTATCCAATGGTTCATAATTTAGGGTGTGGCCCCCTCCAAAGGATCAAAACTTATTTCTTAGGGGTTGAGGGAGGATAAATGGTGTAGGAGAGAAGAAAACAAAAAACTAGGCAATACAATTTTGTAGGCATATTACTTTTCTCTAACCTTTTCTATTTGTGAAAAACTTTTACTTACCCCTTTGGGCCTCCAGCAGTTTTAAATCTGAAACATGACAAGGGGCCCCAAGAAAACACTGGATTTTCACAAGCAAAAAAACATTAAATAAAATAAATTTAACAAGGCATTGTATTTTATTTTAGGTAAAATCTTATTTTGAAAAATAAACAATTGTCAGAAACAATAAATATAGTGGGGTAAAATACAATATTTCCCTCAGAAATTTAGTGGAGTAGAAGTAGGCTAAAATATAGGAAACTCAGCAAACATAGGCTACTTTGTTCAACCCCAGATCTGCAATCCAGCTTTGTGACTTGTACACTGTTGGAAAGAGGACTGATCTGTTCCAAGAGGTTGTTTTGCAGGGAAATCGGCTGGGACACCTGTAGGCTGTGTGTGAAGGCTACTTGTTATACGAAATGGCACAGCACTTGGTCGCCCCCTCGCGCCTTCATGACAAATGACACAATAGGTTGTAGTTTCACTTTTCTCCGATGGCTTGAAAAGTGTGACGGTCTGTGAAAGATAGCGAGAAACCGCCGAGAAACCTATGTAAGGTCAGTAATCATTAAGGATCTTAAAGATATCCAAAATATTTTGTGACAGATCGTAACAGCGTCGGGCATAAACAGAAGATCCGTCGATAGTGTGCTACGCAGATTGTCAGTTTAGATCTGTCTGATTTTTTTTCACTTCCTTGACACCCAGCTCTGCAATGTGGCTTTCCTTCTTGCCTCTGCATACATGTTTTTGACATCCTGTTGCGATAAAAACTCAACATTTTGCGCACATCTTGCTGGATGGCTGCAAATTACACCAGAAGAGTTTCAACATAATTGATAGTAGTCTTACTTTACAATTACATATTGTGTGTTCTAAAAGCAACATCTAAAGAAATGCTGTTTTGGGAGGCAATTTATTCTTTGTCAGTTAGTTCCCTACGCGATAGCAGAAAAATGTAGATGGGACAATCGGTACCTTAACATTTACTGTACATCTAGGCTATATTGTAGATTTAAAAGAAACGGAAGCAACACGTTTTCTTCAGCAATGCAGAGAAAATATGTAATTAGGTAAGGATTTAAGATAAGCAAATATCAGTCGCCATAGCTATGATACAAGGCCATAGCCTGTGTAAGGTATGTAAGTGTAAAAAAACAGCTTTAGGGGAATTGGAGAAGACACCTTAATAAATTTGAGCTTGACAATTATTTACTCAGAATTTTAACAAAAAAGGTATCTCTGTTAATGGATGTTGATGTAGTGTCCTAGTAACCCCCAATAGATGGTGTTATATTATCAAACATGTCTCCCTTTCTATTTGCAGGCTGGGGTTTGAATGGTTGTATTAACACATCCATGAAGAGCTGTTGTGTTTTGGCTTTTTGTCACCATGCTGTTGCTGTACATGCTCACCGTTTGTTTAGAGTCATGACATTTGTGTGTGACTGTCTTGCGCTTACTCTTAGGAGTATTGCTTTACAGCAGTGATTGTGTTTCTCCCAGCAGATGGCAGAGCCAGGAAGGACTGTGAGGGTGAGTGGTCTGCCCACAGACATTGAGAATGACAGACTGAAAGACAAGCTTTTTATCCACTTCCTGAGAGCCAAGAATGGAGGAGGGGAAATATCCTCTGTCAAGTTTGTCAAGGCAACGCCCGTCTCTGCCCTCATCACCTTCGAGGACAGTGAAGGTCCGTAGAGGGTCGGGTTCTGTGTATGTCTGTGCATATAAATTATATGGGAGAGAGATTTTTCTGAATAATTTATTGATTCTATTATGGAGACATGTTGGTGTGAAAATATTATTAACTATATTATTATATTAACAATCAGGTCTCACGATGCACCAGCAAACGCTTAATTAAGTTTCACCCTAAAGGCTCCAAAATGTTGTTGCAGTAATTTGCAAAGTATTAGTAAAGTATTGCACTACGTCAACTCTGCCACCATTGATTTACACTGTGCTGGAATGTTGGCTTGCAAGTCAGTGGAGTAGGCAATGGTAAAAGCACTTAGTCAGGATGCTGCACAGACTGAGATTGATTTCCCTCTGGCGACCCTTCTCACACAGTGGCACAGAGTGTTATTCACCACAGCGGGCACATTCTGGAAGTGGATGAGAAGAAATATAAAGTCATTGTAACTGAGTACCGTGAACGCCTGGACCCAAATGAGGTATATTTAACTAGAATGTTGGCAAATACGTCAACATATCCTGAATATACAGTAAAATCCATGAGTGTTTGTTGTCTCTTTTCTTCCATCATTATAGGTCATCTTAAGTTTATCAGCAACTGTCGACTATAACCAGCTTCCCGGGGGAATAAAGACATTGACAAGCCTTCAGAAGGGCCACCCTGATATCCAGATAAACTACGATGGTACTGAGACATTGTGCACATTGCATGGTGCCTATTCCAAAGTCCAAGCTGCCTTGGCACAACTACTTGGCCACACTGGAATCCCACAATCAGCAGAAAACAAAGACTCAGATCAACCTGCCACCACTGGCTACAGGTCTGTTCAGATAGCACAGAAGCCTCATATCCAGGAGTCAAAAGAACAAAAAGGAAAGGGTCACGGTGGCAGGCCTTCTGATGAGTACAACTCAGGCTCACATAGAGACCTGACACCTGGTGGTAATGGCCGGGAACATACTGGCCAGACAGAGGGTGCAGCTCTACAGCTTCCTGGGCATCCTACCATGCCAGAGGAGGACTTCTCATTAATTGTGGATGCTGACATGTTCCAGTATCTGCAGAAACACTGCAAAAATGAATACCAGGATATCCTTAGAAAGTATGGTGTTGATGTGGTGGATGTGACAAATCAGGGGTTGACTACTCTGTTTTTGCAGGTTGCAACAGAAGTTGGGGAGGCTGGTCGAGATAAGGAGTGCCTGAGGTTGGCAAGAAAGGCAATAAGTAGGCTTTACCAAGAGAATGAGACCAAGATTCGTCGAGCCCAGCTCCCTAAGCGTATCCTGTCCCCCAGGGGGGGACTGCAAAAGGCGTTGGAGGACTTGCGTCTCAGACAGCCCAAGCTTCTTATGAATGAAGATGATCAAAATATTTACATTATTGGGAGCAGTAGTGACATATCTGAAGCCAAGCAGTTTCTTCTCCTGGACCACAGCAAAGTGAGGGGTAAAAAAGAGGAAGTAGCCAGTCTCAGATTTCCTTCATATGATTCAGGTTCATCAACTCATGCTGATGAGCAGAGAGTCCCCCTCACCATTTCCTCCACTGTAGATTCTCTCGATGATGGAATAGGTCATCTGCTGAGGTCAGACGAGGATGAGAGTAAAGCTGATGGAGCCAGAAGGTATAAGCTAGCTGCTCGGTTTAAGGATTCAGGGCTGGCTGCATTATGCAGTCGACCAACTGAAATCACCTTACGAGGACTTTCATCTCCCCGTAGACAAACACGCCTTGGGCCAATGTTAGGGCATGATGTACTGTCAGAAACAGCAGACACTGCTAGTGAAAGAGTCTCCAGAGCATTAACCCAAAACACTGGAGAGGACATCTTGTTTAAGAGTGGAGATGCTTTGCCTTCAGCCACTTCTATGCAGAATAAAACCTTGAACTCACATTTAACTGACACTCGGCCGAAGAGTTTAACATCCCCCCTTAGCACAACTCAGTCCAGTTTGTCAGGAAATCCACTTCCACCTGCTGGGTCTGGATCCACCTTGAAGCGAGCCAGTAGTTTCTCAGGAACCCCGCAGCAGAAGCCCCAAGTTGTGGGTCAAAAGAGTCAAGATGACTCCAGCAAGTCCACAGTCAGAGCCAGGGGCAGGTCCTCTAGCTTCAGTACCCATACAGGGAGAGACAAGCGGGAAGTCTTTAGTGCAGAGATTAGAGTTTCCATTGTGATGTGGCAGCACATTAAAGAAGCCTACAGCACCCGGTTGGATGACCTGACTTCTGATGTCCAGTTGAAAGAAAACCGCTCAGAGAGTAGTGGTGAGCTGACTGTCACCTTAAGAGGGGCAAGCTCTTCCAAAGTGAGTTTAAGTCAGCAAGGTTTACAGAAGCTGGTTGATTCAGTTAATGTAGACTTTTCTGTGCAGGAGTTGTGTTTGTCAGAGCTGGGTATCACTGACAGAGCGGATGAAACCCTACAGGCTTGTTGCGCTGAGGTGCGCAGCCGGTTCAAGAAGGTTACCATCCAAATTTTAAATAGGAGTTTATATCTTCTTGGTCCAATGCAGTTGTGTTCTCAGGTACGTGCTTCACTGCAGGAGGTATTTTCTGGAGAGTTAGCCCAAATGCCTGAACAACAGGACTTCTCTTACCCCTCTACCTCCAACTGGAATCCATCCACATCCACAAGGAATGAGGACCAAACTACTAGTCTGCACTGTTACAGTAATCCTCAGGTGATGCTAGAGAGCCAAACAAGCAAAGCTGACGGAACTGGTGGTAGTCAGGAAAGGAGAACAAACCATAGAAGTGACTTGTATGAGCTTGTAAATGGATCTATTAGCCAACCCTTAGCGAGGAAAAATCCTGTCATTAAGGAGAAAGTGACAGTGGAGATGGATGGACGGAAGACTGAGACATATGTCAGCCACTCTAAAATTGGAAATAATAGAAGTGCAAGACATGTCAATGGTGTCGGGTCAACCTGTACCGATAAAGACATGGAGCTTCAGAAAGAGAGAACCGCACATTCTACCCGAAAGGACAGTATACAGCAAAGACAAACAGAGATCCAGGACACCCCAGAGGAATCCAGCTCAGGTGTGGGAGGCATCTGTGTGTGCGGGAAGAGTGAGAAGGGAATGATGAGAACTAAGTGTGGGGCTACCGTGTGCTCAAAGTGCCTGGACACCATACATGTGCACTGCAAAGTCTGTCATGAGACAGAGCCGACACCACGGGGCATCCAGGGCAAAATGAACCACGCTAAACTAAACATCAGCGTACCAGGTCACAACAAAGACCATGCTGTCAAGATCACTTACTGCATTCCTGATGGTATCCAAGGGGTGAGGGGCTTATTTTAAACATTTTCACTGATAATGTTTGTGTCTCATAGAGACCTTCCCAGAATGTACTGTGTGCCTATTAATCTTTAATCTTAGAAGAGATGACTAATGATATGGGCAAAACAGTGGCTGCTCAATTGATGTATTTTTACTGGTTACTGTACACCAGTTTCAGTGAAACATCAATTTGTTTTTCTAATGTTTTTTTGCTGATATCACTTCACAGAAAATGGTGATTCTGTGTAAGGCATTTATTACAGAGCAGTTATGTACAGGTACCCTTTTTTGTATTGTAGTTGACTCCTACACAATGTCAACAAGCATTTAGCTTAACTTAAGACCCTCCAGAAAAGCCTATATAGAGTACTAGAAAATGCACTGTGATATTGTAGTGTTAAGTAGGAAGTTACTGTTCTGTCAAGTGTCTCGATCCACCGTGTTATGGAACCACACTGTCAAATGTGATCAAAAGTAAAGTAGACTGCTGTCGCAGATTCTGAACTACTGTGCAGTTGTCCGCTAATGTGCTATGGTATCACATAGAGCTTTAATAACAAATTTGTTTACACCTGTAGTCTTTGTGTTCTGTCTTACCAGGAGGGCCACCCTTCTCCAGGAAAACCATTTCAAGGAGGGGTGTTTGAAGCCTTCCTTCCTGACTGCGAGAAGACGAGGAAGCTGCTGCCGAGGCTGGAGAAAGCCTTCAGGCAGGGACTCACCTTCACAGTGAGCAAAGAGACAGGGGCCAGGGTCATCTGGGACTGTATCCCACATAAAACCAGCATATCTGGAGGCAAATCAGGGTGGGTGAGGCCAGTGGGACTGTCTAACAGAGCTGTAGAATTAAAAGTCACACCGGTCCATGTATGTGAAATAAACAGTCTTCTTTTTGTCCCTCTCAGGAGCGGTTACCCAGATTCCAGTTACTTGACTCGCTTGTCTGAGATCTTGACGTCCCATGGGATTAAGGAGCCATCAGCCAAGTCTGAAGAATAAGCGCAATCTGAAGAGGGGTTCTTATGTAGTTTTATGTAAATATAAACATTTTATATTTTTTGTCGTTAGAGCCAGTTGCACTGTAATTGTATGGTGATTAGTACCAGGTTACATTATGTTTGAGCGAGTTCATGATTGATGTCTCAAAATGGAAATAGACATTTAAATATTTTTCAGATAATGGAGTTATAGCAGCCATTGCAGCTAATTCTGATTTTTTTAATTCAATAACTTGCCTCACCGTTGCTTTCAAAGGGGCAATGTGACCAACCATCGTTATCTTAATTATTTCACAAAGCATTCCTGAACATTTTCTTATTGTTTCAGTGTTAATTTGTAAAGAAATGCATACCATTCTGTGTAGTGTTCATAGCACTGTATAGTTATACATTTTATACCGTCCTGTGTAGTTTTAAGAATCTAGTTTAAAAACAAGCAGATATTTGTAGAATACTCATTAGGGAGTAAAATGATGACTTTGTAAAAATGTGTTTGTCTGTCTTCACTTCTTATTTAGAATGAAAGGCACAGAAATAATAAAGCACATCTCCTGACATTTTGTTATGCTTTTTTTATTAGTCCTGGAAAACATGTAAGGCATATGGTAACATTACACACTGAAGCGTTACAAGCTCTAGAGGCCATGTGGACAACATGGCACCACGCAGTAAACCCAGAGTCAAGCACAGAAGCAGCATCAATTCAAAGGGTTTAAAAAACAAAGTCGAGACTAGAAGAGTGTTTGCAACCAGGAAAAAAAAACAATACACAGAAGTACAGAGTAGAGGAGAACTAGCTTAGAAATCAACCTGTTGGGTATGCCTTGTAGAAAATGACCAGTGGTGACTGAACTCTAACAGGAGGTACGTAGTATGATGGATGTGAAGAGAGTTTCTGAAGCATTCCCAGAGAAAGGTTAAGGTGTATCATGAATGTACCAGCTGGCCATGACAGTGTCCATGCTGAATGTGAGGACAGGGAGTCAGGTGGCACAGGGGGCAGTGGATTGGCTTCAGTTGGCAACTTGACACTACTGGAAGGGCATTCTCCTCCCTCACACCACACCACTACATGACTACTAAACTATTGTGGAAAGAGACGGTGAGCTGTACATAAACACATGCCTTATTTTCTGGTTGACTAAACATGCATCCTAGTACTGTACATGACAAGCCCAGCCAGGTTGTACTTTCGTAGCATCTCTGCAATGTTGCTGTGATGTTGCTGCATTGCAATACCTTAAAAATTACTGCTAAAAAAACAATAGCTGCAGGCAGATGTGGTTGTTTGGGTTCTCAGTGTGGATGAGTGAACACAGTGGCTCTCAATATGGAAATAACCCACTGACAGAGCCCCTAGTTTTTGATTCAGAATACTAAAGCTTACAACAAACATGGATGGTGTGAAGGATAATTTGTGTGACAGTTTGTGCAGTGTACTCATTGAAACAGAATGAAGTGGTTTCTTACATGAAGAAAAAAACTGCAGTTTGGAATGACCTGAGAAACTATATAAAACAGAAAGGAAATTCACCTCAAATTGTGGATGCTTTTGAGGGACTTCAGCCATATAAGACAAGATAGATGGAATAGCTATTGGAACTACTACACTCATTGTCTTAGTGCATGTTTCAAACCCAAAACTATGAGTGTTTATTAGTAATATCAAATCTAAAACGGCAAATGTTCAGAAAATTTTCTTTTATTTTTACGTTGAAACACTGTTTTTCTCCTGTGCATCTCTGAGTTGCTAAGTACTCTTGCATAAGTGTCTGGAATGACTGGGAAACTATTTCAAGATGACATACACTGCAGCTTCACCATGGTGGAAGTGCTCTCAGGCAGCAGGCCACCCGCCCAACTGATTGAGTTCATCTCAAAGGCATCTTAGCTCAAAAGAACCAAGGGGAAAATGTTTCTAATGTGTTTTCCACATGCCGAAGAATGCATGCAATTTCAAATTCCAGATGTCAAAGTAATGTTTTATTTGCTATGAATGTGTATGGAAAGAGAAAGGGGTGATATGGAGAGGAGTTTTGGCTGGCTGCTGCTGCACTGCGACTCTTGCACCGGCCAAGATGCTCTGCGGATGCAGCACAGGAAAAGAAGAACGTCTCTAATAATCCTTGAGTGAACTGAGATCAGCTGTAAAGCGGAAATGTTGTGTCTGGGGTAGGCCAGGGCTGAGCTATGATCAGCCAATACGCTAGGGTTTTGTGCAGCTGTGTTACAGTATTGGCATCCCTGCACAGCTGTGTGAAAACATCTGCTCTCTCACTTGCTACAAGCCATTCTGAAACAAACTGAAAGGAATAGAAATCCATAGAGAAGAATACCACGGAGGTTTGGATCTGGAGGGATTTTGCAGATTTCTGTGAATCTTAATGTCTTTTGGTCGAGTTTTGAACCTTCAATGCACCATGTTCAGTTCCTTTTCACTGTGATACTAATATTATGATTGTAAACACTTAGGAGGAATCAACTTGTTGTGGTAGACATGATATGAGAGCTGGTAAAACACAGTGAAAAGGATAGAAATACGGAGGGTGGTGCCTCAGATTGAGGTAAGCTGTGCAAGGAGAGAGGCGCAGTGCAGGCCTACGCTTGAGCAAGACTGCAACCAATCAAAAACTACAAACTGTGTTAAACCTTTTGTAAACTGCAGCAAAAATTCTGTCAGCACCCATGAGCATTTGGGATAGAAATCTGTCACACTATGACGCCTCTTTTGCATTTTCAGCATTGATGGAAATGCATCCAAAAACGGAATTTTTCTTTATATTTTTTATGCACTGTTAATATTCAAAGCATTGACAGAGGAATATACATACAATTTGGCACACATGGTTTGGACCAACAGAAAAACTTTATCACATTTAAAAGGATTGCAGGTTGGCAGGTCCCCACATAAAGAGTATGAGCTTTGAACTTTAAACCCTTGGATAACAAAACAAACAAACAAACGGAAATATAAAGGTAAATTAAAATAACATATTAAGTAAAACATCCTTTTTTTAAATTTTACTGAAGCGTTTGTTTCTCACATGGCACTCAGAACAGAAGCACCTTCCACAGGTTCACAAAGGGAGCCCAGCAGATTAGAACAGAACACTAACCAGAGGCTGACAGGACACAGTCACTCCCCACACCAGCATGGCGGTCGCACTCCAGCCCAGTTCACTCTGCCCTGCTCCACATTTTACTTCCCACAGTCAAGGATGGATGAATGCTTTGATTTTAGCTGCCACCCAGGAGAAGTTGGCCCAGGCAGGGACTGGCAAGCTGAAAATGAGGGGGACCTTTAGATGAGTGTGTGTGTGTTTCTATGTGTGTGTGCCACCTGTGCTTTCAGTGAGCTTCAGCAGATACACTGGGAGTGGATGATGGGAAACAGGCTGTAAACCTGGAGCAGAATCAAAGCCTGCGTGGGACTGGAGTGCGACTGTCATGCTCGTAAGTGCATTAAGATCAGCGAGCAGAGTGCAAAATACTAATACCAACTGTCCTCATAACACAGGCCTCTTATCAGACAGGAGGGAGAGATAGAGTAAGAAGGGGGGTTTGGAGCTACATAATATGTAGCAGAGTAGTGTGAGGGGGAAATGTGGCAGGGGTGTAGGGTGGGTGCTTTTAAAACGACCTGAGGACACGCACATCTTCACACACAATGGCACACCACACACAGCACATGAGGGAGGCCACTCATGCTAACACAACAACTGTTTGTCTTTTATTTTTTTTCAAACATTTTGTTTTTGTTTTTTACAAAGTCACTAGTCACCATCTGAGTCTCAACACTGATGCCGGGCTCACAGACAGGCAGGCAGGTAGGCGGGCAGGTAGATAAATGTCATGTTAAATGTAAGGTTTAAAGTTGATATCCTCCTACATGAAAGATTTAGAGTCCACCCAGTGGGATTTGAGATGGGATAAAAAGGATTATTTCTTAATGGCATTTCACCAGTGAGGCAAAATTCATACTGGCCATTAGGGGGAGTGGTGCGCTTTTTTAGCCAACATACTGCTAATTGCACACATTGTCATTACTTGATTAGAATTTCAGACTGGTTTGAACACACCATTTGGTAGTGCAATACTAAAAACATTGAGAAGTGCTCCAACTCCTCATTTTATCATCTGAAATCCTTACTACATTTTACACCTGGTGAAATACTGGTCATCAGTAACCGACTCTTTGGCAAATATGGAGTTAGGGAGGCAGAAACGAGAGACACAGCGAGAGGGATTCAGAGAAACAGACCACAGTGCCATCTCTGACGAGCCTGACGCCTGTTGCTATGCCGACCATAGAGAGGGAAATGGAAAGAGGAGGGAGTGAGTGAGAGAGAGAGAGAGAGAGAGAGAGAGAGAGAGAGAGAGAGAGAGGAAGAGAGGGGAGGTATGTATGGACGCCAGCTTGAACTGAATTCTCCTTTCTCAGGTCAGGGTGATCGACAGGCCAGCGGTCGCTGTGAAAGGAGCAGAATGCCATGGAATGCCTCGAGGAGGATCAGAGAGGAAGAAAAGCCTGATCCAGAGGAAAAAGGACTGGTATTCACCTTCTTAACTTGCTCATTTCAGATGCTTCACTGTCTCAGCATGACAGTGCCTCTTTCATCACATTCAGAGTGTGTATGTTTGTGTGTGCATGTGTGCGTATTTGTGGCTTGTTTGAACAGAAACAAATTCTCTCTTAATTGGCACTGCGCACTTCTTGCCAACAGTTGGTCAGCTAGAAAAATCTGTAACTAAGGAGAGGGAAGCTGAGCAATGATTTCTGCCTCCCTATTCAACACCGCACAGAAAGGCTCATTATGAGGGAAATTCATATTCAGGCAAGTGCAAAACTGCAGTCACTATATTAACTTTACTTGGTGGGAATGCAAGCATTATGGAGCAGTTTCACTCGCCACTGATGAAGACTGATATAAGCTATATCCAAGCTAAGGACATATTAAATGATAACCAATGTTAGGCCTTGTACAATTAGCACAGTCGAGAAGTCAAACATCATGATCACAACCATGATGCAAATATCTCCTGGGGAGGTAGGGTGCATTAGCCAATCACAGGCATCTATGACTCATCCACAGTGACATAACTAAGCGTTGGACACTAAGAGAGCAACGTGTGGGTGGGTGTGGTTCTCTGTTTATCTGCTTGTCTTTGTGCCTGTCTGTGGGTCCGGCCCGTGGATGTGGTTGGGGTGGTGGTGGTGTGGGAGGTGGGAGGGGACTCAGCACAGTGAGGGGGAAGAGGAGGTGGCAGGTGGAAGTCAGAGCAGAACAATTTAGCACAGTGGGAGTTGAGGTGCAGGGGGGCATTGGGGTCGAGGGAGGGGCCGGAGTGCGAGCGGGGGTTGCGGTTGTCAAGGAAACAGTAATTTGCCCCAGGCCTGGACCATACCCACAATCCTCCACGGCTCTCTTGTTTCTGTCATTCCCAATAGGAAAAATCTTTCCCGTGTTGTGACTTTTGTTTTCTCAATCTCATAACGCAGAGGGATAAGTCGGGAGCTTACGAGGTGTTACAAGTGATTGGAATTTTTCTTTTAGAGTTAAAGGCAAGAAAATGGGATGAGATGGGAGGGGAGGTGGGTGGAGCCAGGCCTGAGTAATGACTGCCATTGAGGACTAAAGAGGGCGAGGCTGGGGGGAGGTGGAAGAGATGAAAGATCAACAGCGGTGTGATAATTTTGTAATGTACCCTTCTAACACCTTCCAATCTTGCCTACCCTCCAACCCCACCATCCCTCCCCATCCATCTCCATCCTTCCCCCCACCCCACCCTACCCCTCCATCCCACACCACAACCCCTGCTCCAAGGATACAAACTCCCTGGTGCTCTGCTCGACTATCCATCCCTCCCTCTCACTTTTCTTCCTTCTTGACCTCTTCCTTCTTCTCCTCCTCCTTCTTCTCCTCCTTCTTGGGCTCCTCTTTCTTCTTGTCATCCTTCTTCTCCTCCTTCTTGCCATCGTCCTTCTTCTTGTCATCCTTCTTCTTGTCATCCTTCTTCTTGTCCTCTTTCTTGTCCTCCTTCTTGGGCTCCTCCTTCTTCTCCTCCTCAGGCATTGGCTCTGTGGTGAGGATCACTTTGCCAATGTTGTTCCTCTCCTGCATCTTTCTCATGGCATCGCCCACCTGAAGGTGAGATGGAAGGACAAAAACCGTTACATATGGCAAGATGAAAGAGTGAGGGGTGAAAAGAGGGTAGAAACGAATTTAAATACACCTGCCATTGAGAAAAATACATTAAGTGTATGCAGTAGTAGTAGCTAGTTTCTCCTTCACCGACACACATCCCCAGCAATACGAGCCTCCTCACATCCTGTGCCTTTAATCTTTGTCTCTGTTTTGATACCACAGCCTAGAAACAAATTTTATAGGACTGCGCTTCTCCAATATCACTTTAATATGCAGTATATGAGAAACTACATTTGTTAGATGAGACTTTAATAACCTTTGAGGGGAAAATAAATTGTTGTAATAGCAAAATGCAAAGAAAAAAAGGATAACAAAATAAATGACGGAAATAACATCCTGTAAACAGATACTCTTGATATTAGAATTTAAGTATAAAGATAATGAAATGTTTAGTAGGTGAAAGATACACACATGAAGCAGAACATTATTCTTTTCGTGCATCATTTTGTCTAATATCCCAATGCTATGGAACAACACATTTACTTTAATTAGAAAATTATATAATTTCTACATTAAAACTTATGGACAGAAATGAGGGGGGATGAGGCAGATTCCCTGGAGAGTGAATGATGAATAGTGTAATGTCGAATCTGAGACCTTGGTTCCGTCCTTGTCTTGGTCGGGTGTAAATTCTAGTAAGTGCTTGACTTTAAATCTAATCAAAACTATTATGTCATAATTTTTGTAAAATTAAGTTGTGATGCTTTCTTTTCATTGTATTCATTTTCGTTGTAATCACTTCTTTTCCACTGATGGTAGAGGCCTCTGCAGGTAATTCAATCAATAAACCATGGCTATCTGACAGTGTTATGTCTCATTATTAAAAGATAGGTTCACATTTTTTTAAGTATGCCCCAAAGCAACACTCACAAACCCACATTACAATAAAATAGTTTTTGGTCATTGCACGTTGTACCTCCTCATCATACTGCCCATAAAGAGATCCTTTCCTGATGCGATTCCAGTGTGTTGGGACATAAAATCCATCGTCCTGTTCTGTGCAAAAATGCAGTATAAAGTTTAGCCTAAGATAACATGAGGCTTCAGCTGTCTTCCAAAATAACAGACTTTTAGTACATAGTTCCCTCTTTGTGTTATTATCCCTCCATTGCAGGACAGTGAGGAAACAATGTCCAGGGAAATAAAGAGGGGATTTTGCACTAAAAGTTTCAAATATTTGTGTAAATCAAACTAAAGCGTCATTAGTCTCAGCTAAACTTTAGAAGCACAGGAGGCACAATTACAGCGACCAAAAACTTTTTCAATGTACAAATGGGCATTTGAGTGTTGTTTTAAGATTTAAAAAATGTGAATGTCTCCCTTGGGTTAAAGCAACAATATGTAGTAATTTTATCTTAAAATAACAGCTTAAAAATAATTTTGATTGTCCACTGATTTGTAATAAGGTGTCGTCTGTTATTGCCACTCCGGGGCAGGGGGGGAAGTGGTTATTGGCATTATGTAACATTTAAGTTCACAAACAACAAACAACGTTTCGCGACAACGGCGTAATGATTAACGGCACAAACACGACTCTTCTACAAGAAGAAGCTAGCTTGGTATTCTCAGTGTGGATATCATGGCAGAGGCTGCTAAGAGACCGACGAAGACGCTGTCGGCTAAGAGACCGACGAAGACGCTGTCGGAGGAAGCGAAAAAGAGCAAAAGAGAGAGTGACCTAGCAAGAGACCGGACAGGAGTCAATATTGGAGTGGCTTTTATTTGTTGGCGTGAGCTAAAAGAGCTGAAACGACGCAAGACAGATGCTGAGCTGGCCTCTTGCTGTTGGACTAGAAAGTAATAACTTATTAGCTTGATTGTGTTTGCTTATGTTTGCCTGTGTTAGCAAAGCTGCCAACTCGAGCAAAATCAGCCAGAGGTTTTACAGAGGTTTGAAACCTCTGTAAAACCTCTGGCTGAAAAGCTATAAATCTCGAGTTGATGTTAACAAATTGACTAGATACCACACTTGGACATCGGTGACGCTACTGTAAGTGTTCTTGTGTCGGTTGCTGTCTAGCCTATTTGGGTATATTGCCACCCAACTTTCCAGCCACATTATGCTGCTGCTGGTGGAGAGCGGTGCCGGTCAAGCGGGAACCAGGTGAGAGGGTAACAATGACTAGGCTCGGCAGCCTCCATGGACATAACAATAGCTTATGGCAGAGGCAAAGAGACTGAATAGGACGTTGACGGAGGAAGCTAAGAAGAGAAAAAGAGAGAGACCATGCAAATGGCCTCCAGACATTGGCGAGAGCTTTGTGAAATAACAGGCTGCAAGACAGACGCCGAGCTGGCCTTCTTTCTATTGGACTAGTAAGTAATACTGCTATGTCTTGTGTTGTCACACCTGCTTGATGTTTGGCTATGTTAGCAAAATTGCTACTTGCTACTTTTTTTGAAGTAATGTAATTATAACAAATGCATACACAAATGCATGTGTACAGCTGTTACACTCAGTAAGGGTGATAAATCACACAAATCTTACGTAATGTTGCATAAAAGTGGTAAATTTAGAAGTAGTTAATCTATTGCTGATCATGGAAGATCTTTGTACATAGTCTTTTCTTTAGTCTGTTGAACTACAACACGTTTTGGTTGTAACATAGCTCAATTTAATGGAGCTAATAAATCATCTTACTTTTTGGGACATACAGCCAAACCCCCATCCACTGATGGATCGACCAACTTGACCCCACAGACTATCAGTTATAACGACGATATTGGAGAATCCCAGCCACACAACCCCACCCGCTTCTTGACCACCGAGCTCTGTCCACTGTCTTGTTCCTGCCTCCATCGCTTCCCCCGCCCGCCCTCCCTCTTCCGATCCCTCTCTTCGTGCAAGGCAGGCAGACCACCTAACGACAAATGCCACAGCAACAGGGCCATCTCCTAGCAACGTAAAGCCTGGCTGAAACGTGGCCCTGACGACTCAGACACATGGATAAGAGGGAGAGTGTGGGAGTTCAGGGGGTGGTGGTGGTGGTGGTGTGGGGGCAACTGGTGTCCTTCAGATGAGGAACACTCCTCGCTGAAACTGAAAGGAAGGGAGGGGTGAGTCCGGGAATTATAAGAATCATCTTCAATGTGAATGAAAGTCACAGTGAGAGCGACCGAGGCTCTTTTGATGACTCCACCCACTTCCACCCTTCACTCTCTGAGATCTGTCAACCTCTCTGGCTCCCGGGCATCTCGGACTGGAGTGTGCTATTTGCGGCTACAGACATGGCCATTATCCTCTGGGTATCAGTGCAGATGTAGATATTAATCCAGATAAAAACCATGGGAGGGAGGGGTAATGCTTATTTTCAAACATTGTCCAAGTATGTTCATTGATTATCGGACCAAATAAGTGACAATGGACGGCTGTGATGGATAGGGTCAGGGCGTGGCATTTGTAGTCAGCTCGTAATAATTGATCATTTATCAGATGAGCTATCGCCCAACAGCTTTGTGTCTTTGATGCTGCTACGACCATCAGTGTTTGCAGACATACACTTTACACGCCCGATCGCTTCCAGACAGACTGAGATATACATTCTTCTCTCCTCTTTTTTTCCACGCTCCTTTCATGTCTCTTTCTCATACATCAGTGCCCCTCCCTGAGACCGACGCACTCACTGACTAAAGGATGTCACCATAGCAACAGGAGAGAAAAAGCAAAAAAAGACACTGTGAGGAGGGAGAAGGAGAGAATACAGCGAGATGGAGAGAGACAGAGAGGGAGTCAATAACCTAAAGACAGAGAGAAAGAGAAAGAGTCTGATATAAAGAGCAGACAGATGGAGAGGCAGAGAAAGGGCGTCAGATGGCGGAGAAAGACAGCGGGTGTTTCTCTCTGGCCGCAGTCACACAGGCCAAAATACTGACCAGCTTCGACTTTGACAACAGAAGATGTCAGCCTCTGACTCCCTCTTTCTCTCAGTGTTTTTCACACTCTCTATTCATATCTGTTAGCAGTGTTAATTTTGTCAGCAACAATCTGACTCTGTCTGGCTGAGTGAGTTATGACCGAGACACAGGGCTTCTTGTGGACAAACTTTGCCTGTTGAATATTGAGCCTTGTTGAATCTGAGCCACACCCAGCTCCTGCAGATGCCACTGCAAAACTCGCACACACAAATCCACCTGACATTCGCATGAATTCTGGGTGACTGGGTTGTAAGCACATGGTGTAAAAATAGATGTAATTCAGGTGTAAATGCACACAGGTCACAATGAATCATTTGAACATTTGGACTGAGGGACACAAGGATGATTTTAGTCACATTAACAACTGGGCATAAATGGATCTGAAATCCATATACAAAGGCAGATTAATGGAAATACAGCATTGAGTATGGATTCAGTCTAGGAAACATGGAAGAAAACAGCGAATGTTTAAATAGACACATACAGGTAAAAGAAATATCTCAGTATTTTTTTTAGATAAAGATACATATGACACTCTTTGTTTTTAATAGGAAGTCTCACTCAAGGACAATTCTCACTGTGAAATCCGTGAGAGGTGAGAAGAAATGCCAGTGGAAACGAAGGAGAGGAGTTTGTTGTGTACACAGAGGAACTGCTAGCAAGACTTTTTTTCCCAACGTTACTCCAACATAACAGATTCCTCTCAACAACAAACTCTGACTCACGTTTCCACCGTCGTCTTCCTATAACAACTCGCCTCTCGCAGGATTTCAGAGATCATTCATATGGATGCTTTCCATGATATTGTTAGACACCTACTAACAGTCAGAGCCTGTCAGTGGCTAGCACTATTGTGGACGTAATTTTAACGGGCGCAATTCCCCGAAGGAATACGTTCATCCATTGCAGCCCGTTCGCGGCTGCCAGCTAAAGCCATCAACTACATGGATTCCAAAACCTTTTGTACCTACTAGTAATTTTGACACTAAATTATGTGAAAATAGGGCCCAGATTTAAAAATACTGAAATTATCGTCACATTGATTGTTCAAATCCTGTAAATAGCTACACTAGTGCAGTCCCGCTCACTGATTTGCAACACTGACATCAATAATACAACCAGAGACATTAAACAGATCACTATCTTGGTAAAACTATAAAGCAAAATATCATCTCACTGTATAAATCATCATATCTCCCAAAACTACTTATGAATAATATTATGAGATAATGTGATAAACACTGAATAACACAAATAAAGAATGTAATCAATCCACTGACAATCAACATACAAGAAACATGTTAATTCCAGTGTACAGTGTACAGACACAAACCTGCTCGAGGTGCCAAGTGGAGTCGATGCGGGGCTTGATCTTGCCCTCCTTATAGAGACTCAGAATGGAGTTCATAGCCTGGCTGATGAGCTCCATCTCCCCATCCAGGTAGCCCAGGTGAAAGCCGCACACTGACTTGTTGCCCTGGATCAGGCTGAGTGTGTGGATGGAGAACTGATGGTACCAGTTCTTAGCCACAGCGAGCAGGTTCTTCTTCTGGCCCGCCAGCATGTTAGCAGAACCTGACAGAGAAGGAGGGAGAGAAAGTCTAAAAAAGAGAGAGTGTGTGTGTATGTTTTGTTTAGAGGACCGGTCCATTCTCTTTCAAATGATCTGCCCCCCACTCCTACTCCCTTTTCCTCTTTTGCTCTGACCGTACTCATCAACCTTATCAACTTCTCTCTTTTAGCTGTGAAACAATCACTCAATTATTTAACTGACAGATATTTTCATACATTTTTAAAGTCATTAATCAGGAAAAAAAATTCACTGGTTGGAAAACACAAGAAATGGGCTTAGGCTTTGTTGATGTCTCATCATTTCAAATAAAAGTTTTTTTCAATTATTGACAAAAAAAATTCTGATTAATTATTTATCATCGTGTCAAATCAACATTAAGTCCTGTCAGGTGCTTCTATTTGTTAATCAGGGTTTTTAATCTTCGCTCCACCTCTCTTTTGCTCTACCCCTCACACCCTCACCTACGCCTTCGACCATGAAAACCTCTTAAGCACTTCAGCTCTCACTTTCATCACATCCCCTTCCTAACCCGTCCTTCTGTGAGGCATAGCTCACACAGCCTCCTATGGTCTCACTGTCTCTCTCTCTCTCGGGGGAAACAGGGGACACAAAGCAAGCTCTGAGAGAAGAGAGGGACCCGGCCTGCTACATTCAGACACATTCCAGGTTTCGTGTGGATAGAACGCCCATTGTTCCGCCATGCATACTTCTGATAAGCTGGAAGAGGAGCAGCCAGCACGGAGGGACCGGGAGGGTGGGGTAAGGCTGGGGGGGGGTTCTCTAGGGTTGATAGAGGGTGAATGGGCGAGGGTGGGGGGCACCATGCTGGGTACAGGGTTTTTGTGTGGCATGCAAAGGCAAGGCCCTGTTCTCCATGGATGCCGACCCCGCCCACTGTTGCATGCATGCTGGTTCCAGATTGGCATTGTAACAGAGCAAGCGTAAAGGCCTCCCACGGATGATACACAGCACAGTGAGGACATGGATCTCTACAGAGAGGTCACACTGCCCACCAGGAAGCAGCTCTATTCTGTTGCAAGTGTGGAAACCCTGTTTCATGTACTGTATTAATTTGCTTAAAGCTATGGAAGGTAACATTGGAGAAAGAGACAGCTTGATTTTGGAAGTAACCAACTGAAAAAATCCCACCCCCTCCCCGCAGGCCTCCCTCAGAAGCCACCCCACCAAAATACATTTTCATGCGCAATGAGTGCATGGGCAGAGTGCGCGCAGGTAGGAAGGTAGACAGGCAGGGAGACCTGCCAGGCTGGGCTTATTACAGACCTGCAACAGCCACAAATACCGGATAAAATAAAATTCAGAGCATTTGATTTATTGATTGCTGTCAGGATGTAAATATTTCAACAAATATCAAAAATGATTTTGAAACACATTACATCCCCTTTAACAAGGATAATCCAGGATCTCTGGGAGGTTTTTGATTTCTTTTTTGATATTTTGTATGAAGAAGATTAATATTTAGGAAAAAAAATCCAATTTAGTGAACTTACGCAGAATAATAATATTGCTAATGAGTTTCAGTAAGAGTAAAAACACGTTTAGGAATACGCTGTTCATGGGTATTCCTGTCAGCAGGTGCAGGTAGCTAGCCATGCAGTTAACAGTATATGTAACCTTTGGGCTTCCTACCATGCTGTGCAGCTCTGCCAACAAGCTTAATAACAAAATAGTTTGGTTTTAGACATTACAAAAGAAGTTCTGGTAAATTTAAAAATGAAAAAAATGGAGAAGCTTGAGGGAGAGGAGATTGAGGCTTCATCTTTATTTGACTTAACGCTCATAAAAGTGGTTCTGAATCTGATTATTATAAAAGTGATAAAAGGTGGGTGTTCATCCAGATTTACCATTTTAACCAAATCTGTTTGCATTAACTCTTTCCTATTACTTCCTCACGAGCTCCTGGAGGATCACTGAGGATTCAAATAAAGCTCCTCCAAACTTGACTCTATATTTTTTACTACTTACCATAGGTGATAAGTTTGCCCATAGGCTTCAGCAGGTTGTAGGCCTTATGGGTGTCTGATCCTCCAAGAGAGTCCAATATTATGTCCAGCCCTGGAGCACAAAAGAGAAGAAAGGGACAGTTATCACTGGTGTGTATTCAGTGAGAGCAGCCTGCCAAGTCTCCTCAGCAGCCCCCTCCGCATGGCAGAGTTCACTAGGAGTAGAGAATGTAGCCAAGTTGTGCCATGTTTACACGAAGAGGAACCCATACATATGCCAATAGAGGAGAGGAGGAGAGTGGGGTGAGATCCTTCTTGTTTTATGTTTTCTCATTCTTGTCACTGATAAGACAAGAGGAATAAAATGTCCCTGTGTTGTTGTCCATTTCATTCCTAGGTGGAGAGGATATCAAATTAATGTCTAAACACATGGTAAAGCATGGCAACCCAACTATGAAGGTTTCTCTGTGGCTTATTAATGTGGCCATGTAGGCTCAGCCTTAATGATGTTCTTTGTGCCAGAGGGAACTCCTCAAATTGGGCTACCCCTCCTTGCTCTGTTAAACCCTGATTCTATTGACCGTGGGAGGCTCACAGCAGGACCATGCCTTGACCACAGCACAGATGAATTGACAGAGATCCAAAGACAGAGGGAGAGGTAGTGAGCAGGGCTTCACATTGATCCAGCCTTCTAATTAGATACATTCTGTCCAAAGTGTCAGTTCTCGCTGTCTTCCTATCTGCCTCTGTAATGTCTATCTGTCTCACTCCATGCTACAAAGAACAGAGACTGGCTGGAGAGGGGACTATGAAATGAGCTTCCAGCATAATAACAGTCTCCATCCTGCTGCTAGGAACACAGCAGCATGCAAAAGAAAAAAAACAGGAACTGGACGTCATTTGCTGAAAAGTAGCATTTTGTGTGCCCCTCTTAGCGAGGCCACGTCTACATAAAACTCTTTGGATGCATTATTGATAGGGATGAAAATCCCTCACTGCTTAGTGAAAAATGACTCCCTACATGCTATCAGTCTAGTGTACATGGCAGCCAGCTCTGCTGAGAATTGTGTCATGAGCAAAAAAAACCCAAAGTGTATGAAACTGTATCATCTCACTCTCTGCTGTTTGTTCAACACTGAGCCACTAATTCTGCAGTCAGACAGTATTGCTTTGTACCAGTGGGAATATATCGATCTGGACTATTTGCTTTATGAAACAACCTCAGTGAAACATGCAGAAACCTTGATTAAAGATAATTCAGTGGATCACTTGTTTAACGTTATTCCCAATCCCTGCACACACCAACTCTAAATTTAAAGCACTTAACCCAGTGCAGATGGCCAAGTTTCTCACCTTTCGGACTGATCTTGCGAACTTCCTCCACATAGTCCTTGGTGCGATAGTCGATGGGATGTGTGACTCCGCCCTCGCTGATAGTCTCGTGCTTGCTGGCTGATGCCGTGCCGAACACAGTCACATCCTTCACTGTCTTGCACAGTTGAGTGGCAGCAATGCCCACACCACCTGAAGGAAGATGGCAGAGTTAATAAATATTTGTAATTTCGTGAAAAAAAATATATTTCAGGAAATTACCTGTGATGGATTCTGCTACAAAGACTACTGACAAAGATTCAAGCTTAACTCTGTATGGTTGTTCAAGGAAACACAAAGACCTACATGAAACTCAGCTGAACAGAACAGTTGCTGAAGGCACCCAAGAATTCACAATCCACACGTATTTTCTATGGAAGGTAAATGTGATTTGCATTATTGTCCCAAACAAGCCAGTCAATAACAGTGTGGATGTGTTTTGCTCAAGGGTATGTAAAGAGCGCATTAAACACAATCACATTACCCTGTCTGGCCTGGGGAAAATAGACACTCACACACAGTGATGCTTCTTATTTTTTGGTTCCCTTATTTAAGACAATCTGTCTTAAGTTCCACAGGACAAAAATGTAGCTGAGGTATCTGTTTGTTAGGAAAGGAGAGCTGGATGACATTCTATTGCAAATTACATAAACACAGCTCCAGCTGAAAAATAAAATGTGCTACTTTGTCCAAGATAACTTTAAAAGACAAAGTGCTGTGAGACTGTGTGTTTTGGTAGATGTTTCTGATATCTATTTGTGTTCACTGTATTTGAAAGTGTGTACATAATTGTGGCAAATGCCTCAGCCAATGTTTGCTAAGGCAGCCAGAGCAAGAAGAAATAGGTTACTGATAAGCAGTGGCTTGTTTGCAATGGAGGCTGACTTGAGGACTTGAACTGAAAGGCATCCATAAAGGTCATCTATGCCTGACCAAGTAAAGAGCACGTCTTATCTGATAACAGAGAATAAAGCAACATAAAGCAACACATGCATTTACATCAATTTTTAATGATGGATTGGTTTGGATTAAATGAATCATGAAATTGTGATTTGCTTGCTTACATAGGCAACCAAACCCAAACATTTAATATGCACACCCTGTAAGATAATCAGAAAGCCAGGAAGCAGGCACATGCACGAGAAGAGTTGTTGATTAGAGTTGTGCAAAAGTAACCAAAGAGGATGCTTTTTTTAATCTAGTACATTTCTGATTAGATCATGTAAAATAAATAAATAAATAATAAAAAAACACACAATTTGGTTTTAAATGGAGCATTTAGCTAAAGATGTAGGAGAATGTTCCCAAACCATAAAGGTACACTTATTTTATCTGGTAAATTATTCTATAGTCTGTTCTGCATACTCAATGTAACAGGACCAGTAAGTAATTTAATTAGTTAATTTATTTTATTATGTTTGATCATGTATATCTTCTAAATATCGGAATGTCAGAATTATGGTTTATATATTTTGTATGGGTAGAACATGCACATGCATTAGATGACACTAATGCACGTCTGGTTCCTTCATCTCAGTATAAAAATGATTCTGATCCAGTGAACCAGTCGAATAGCACAATTTCCTCAATGACATCCTGGAAGTTAGTCTCTGAGGCAGCACTATCACATAAAAACAGCACTGACACTGGCCAAAAAATGAGATGTGGGGACAAGATTAATGCCAAAACAAATGATCCTTTTTATTAATTTCTGACCAGGAATCGGTCAGCATGACAGTGAAAAAAAATTCATTTAGGGAGCCTTTGTTACAGAAAAGGCAAGAAAAATAATTTGATTACAACCCCCCCCCCCCCCCCCCCCCCCATAATTTCAGCGTAAAGACAAAAAAAATAACATTTCTGATCTGTGGTTCTCATCTGAGGGCCATGTGAGATGAATCGACTGCTCTGCACTACTATGATCACGCCTGCTGACACTGAAGGGAGAATGGATGAGAAAACAAAATCAAGGCTGTTGCTGTTGGATGTGTGTGTTGTTGCGGCTGCGTTATAACAGCACCATCTCTCCTTGTCCTCAGTGAGAAACCAAGTTTGTGTTGCCAAGGAAACCTTGGCCAAATTACCGGCAATGACTGAGCAAAGGGAGCCATTTTGTTTCATTGACTGCTCTTCCTTTGGGCATATAAGGGATTCGCACATAAGACAGTTTGATGGCAATCACAAGTTTGTCATCAGTTTATATTTGACAACTGAGTGATGCCTTCCTCTAAGTAGCCACCAAACCTTGGAAAGCCAGCCGCATGTAAGTATGTGTCAAGGTTTTTCAGGAGCCATTTATAGACAAATTAAAGGGCAGTGGAGTTATGCTATACAGTGACATATGATAAGAAATGTACCTATCATGTGCTTATAGTTTTACACATACAAGCATCTGTTTGCCTTGGACTCATGGGTTTTTACACAAGTACATGAGCTATTGTATGTGAGGCAGAAGGGAAGATAAAAAAAGTGAAACAATGTTGAAAAAGTATTGTCTGGTTGGGGGTTAAGAGCTGTTACTAAATATCTCTTTCATATAGTAGCAGCCTTCACATACAGGTGTGAAAAAGTGTCCAACAGGATGATGCATCCATTAATCCCACGTACTTACAGCCAGGCACTCACATATTAATATTTAACTAACACTGCTGTCATAAACACAGTGGTTCCCCTTCTGTTTCTGCTTTATGTAGTCAGTGAACAATGGGGAAAACGGTTCATGCTAAAATTATTCTTCTCATATTGCTTTTTTTTTTAACTTCAAGTAACAAATAGTTACTTTCCAATCAGACCTTAAAACAGTAGAAAACCATCTCTTTATATAATCAGATATTTTTCTTTCTCTTTATTTGTGTGTGTATAAATTTATTCCTGGTTAAAGAAATCTGCTGCCCAGGGAGGAAGAAGGTACCTGTTTCTGAATCCCCTGAGAACAAACTCCTGATCAGCCGTCACAAGACTGCTGAGCCGTGCCAAGAACCCCTTACTGCTCCCCACCTTACTTCACACACACGCGCACACACGCACATACACACAAACACACACACACACACACATCCATACATATATACAAAGATCACAGAGGAGTGAGGAATGGGGCTGCGGCCTTGAACAGTCCTGAATGGCTGCTGGTAAGAGCTAATCTTCACAAATATGCACAGAGATTAAAAATATTAACCTTTCATTAACCCAGTGCTTCAGTTCCCATTGTGTTCTTGGTTTCCTGATTCATAGTTTCTCTCTATATTTCTACTTCTACTAGACTAGAATCATCTCTCTTGGTAGGGGCTGAGTGTGATTTAAGAACATCCACAAACACTTACCAATTGCTTGGGGAAGAGAAAGCAGCTTAAGCAAATTCTTGCAGCTAATTTCATTTGTTCTCCTCAAGATTCAATAGAATTGTTTACACTTGGAAATTAGGAAAGTCAAAAAGCGTCCACCTATCTATGTTGTTTCTCTCTCTGGAGAAACAGGATACACAGTAGGGTTTTGTCTTCCCCTGAATCCTTACGTACTCGCATTTGGCACAAATTGCACTTGGCTTCCAAAACATGACTGTTAGGAGTGAAGAGGAATTTTCCCCAAAACACAGTGGAATCCAGATTGACACTGAGGCCACTGTTATTGCTCCACACCCAGAGTTCAACAGCAGCAGTGGGTTGGGACATCAGAAATGTTTTTCAGATTTATCAAAAAAATAATAAGACGAATACCATGTCTCCCTCGTCCTGATTAATACATCTGTCAATCTACTCTCAAGCTGCATGCTCACTGCCAGCTCATATTTCTTATCTAAATGAAAATGATCTCACATCACTGCATTTGTCAATTGTGTGAGCCAGGCAATAATCTCAGGTGTTAGTCGGGGGACGGGTGGTGGCCATATGGCTACTGTCAACACCAGAGAGATGACTGGTCCCTTGCCTCTGAGCTCTGTGTTGTTTTCTTGTGTGATTTCTTCTGCATTTATTTCCACATTTCCTGAAGGACTCTCATCTTTCTTAACCTATCATTAGCTCGTGGTGGTAGTGGCTGACAAAGAATGAAATACAGACGCGGACCCAAGCATCTCTTTTTACCCAAACTCGCTGTGGCTGTGTTACAGCATCAACAAGCTGAACCAAATAAATGAACTTTTTATTGCTACTCTCCGCAGCTCTATAACATAGTTCAGTTTTGTAATGATGATAGGAGCTGTGGTTGGCTGTTTGAGAACGTGTACTCTTATTTTACTGGTATTACTCTATATTATGTAATCTCTGTGTTTTTCTGGGATGACTGTAAGTGTGTGTATGTGCACACACACTGTGGGCTTAAAGAGAAGTTTAATTTTTTCTCTCTGATGGTGATTTTCTCTCTGTGCAACACAGAGGAAGCTCATTTTTAGTTACTGTGTGAGTGAATAAAAATATATATATAAATATCCTTTGCTCCTGTGTGAAGGTGGTCCCTGTAATTTCCTGAGTAAGGATTCTCACACTTTTATCTAACACACACACACACACAGCATGCAGAAATACACATAATAATGAATCTATGTTGGACACAAACATAAACCACTTTCTTTCATCATTTTGCAAAATGAAACACAAGCTGGTGCACTCTCATCCTGTTATGCTGCAAATTCAAACACACAAACACACACACACACACACACACACACACACACACATACACAAACACACACAGGTGTCCTGACACAGGTTTCACATACACCTGCGACTGTATGTAGTGGTTAGGGTGGTGGTGGGTGGATGGGGTCATTTGTCAACGGTTGCAGCAATGAGAGCGCGAGCGAGCGTTGTGATTGGTGGGTTAGGTTGGAGGTTGCCCTGGTTTCCCTCTCCTATCAGTGCAGCTGATCTGCCGCCGGCGATGCCAGGCCTGGGGAACACAGAGACGGTTCAACCACGCAGCCCAGACTCCTGCTTAGTGGTCAGACTGAATTAGCATTCTCTAAACTAGGGTAAGACCTCCCGAGCAGACAGACCAGGAGGAGAGGAGAAAAAAACATTTTCAAGGCACATTAGACTTTTATCATGGCTCCCAGGAACAATGGGTCTATGAAATTGAGAGATGTAACTACACTAGAGCTAATGCTGAAATAGTTAGGGACTTTGTTAGCTGGTAAATAATGAATGAGAGCAATA